TGTTACCAAGTACCATTCAAATAAATCCGTGTCGCAAAAACTCTTGTCGCAACAGTTTTTCATACTCTGTAATGAACTTACGCAAACCTGAACTGATGTATTCCTAAAATGAAAAAGAAATTAACATTGTTCTTAACGGTTAATTACATTTTTGTAAAAGGATAGCACCAGTAAAATCAAAATTAAAATGAAACTAAATTGCAAATTAATTATTTACGTGTACTTTATTTTTTTAGGTTTATTTAACAACTTAATTCAAAAAACCAAACCTACTCAATAGAATTTTTTTCTATCATAAATATATTAATTATATAAAAATAAAACTTACTTTTTAATCCTTTGCTAATCTAGTGTTTATAAATACAAGATTGAGCTAAGCTATGTCATGCTATCCTCCATTTATCATAAATCTTTGTCTCCTGATGCATATTCAACTGCCTGCAGCTGATTGAAACGGCGGTCAAGATAAGCATCACCGCCTAATAACATAGAAGGTGGTATACTTCCTTGGGAACCTCATATTGCATGCAAGGTCTCCCAATGGCCAACATCAGAGTCAGAGATGTTCAGGTGCCTCTTTTGTGGAAGGCAGAAACACGTGTCTCTTGTGTTGTATTATTAACATGTCTAAAACAAAACGAGATATATTAAAAAACACTCAAAAAACATAATAAACGACTTTACTATTAAAGTTTAGCAACTTATATCTAACAAAATATTATCTTAATATACCTTATAGAACAAAAAAAAAAAAAAAGGTTTGTTTTTTAAAGGCATACCCGCGTTTCTCTATGTGGTACTACTAGAAAATACTGTATACAAAAAAAAGCCCTTACATCTTTAAGGTGAAATTGTTTGAACACAGCCAGTGTTGCAGTATTTGCAGTGCCGTGTTGCCAAGTACAATTCAAATAACTCCGTGTCGCAAAAACTCTTGTCGCCACAGTTTTTCAATACTCTTGTAAATGAACTGACGCATTCCTAAAATGAAAGAAGAAAAAAAAAAAAAAAAAAAAAAATTTAATTTATTTTTGTAAAGGATAGGCAAACCAGTAATCAGAATTAAAAATAACTAAATAAAAATTAATTCATTTTACGTGTACTTTAATTTTTCTAGGTTTATTTAACAGCTTGATTCAACAAACCAAAAAAACTTATACAAAACAGATTTTTTTTTCTATCTATAGATATATTAATTAATATAAAAAAAAATCTTTAATCCGTAATCTAATGTTTAGAAATACAAGATTGAAGCAAGAACAGTCATCTATCCTCCATTTTACATAAATCTTGCCGCGCTGACTGCATATCATGCTGCCTGCAAGATGATTGAACCCTCCGTCAAAGATTATATAAGCATCACCCGGCTAATAGACATAGAAGTTGGTAACTTCCTTGGGTACCTATATATGCTATGCAGGTTCTCAATGGCCGAACATCAGTGTTAGAGGATGATCCAGGTCCTCTCTTTTGTGGAAGGAATTCAGAAAGACACCGTTCCTCTTGTGTGGTATTATAACCATGTGCTTAAAACAAAACAAGAATATTTTAAACACTCAAAACAAAATAACATTACATTAAAGTTAGCAAATTAATAATTCTAGCAAAATATTTTTATGATAAAGACAAAATTTATTTTAATCATTAATTAATAAAAAAACATTCTATCCAAAGAATGAAAAACGAATACTGCTACCACATATATTCTCATAATTTTATGTTCTCTAAAGTAGGAAATTAGAAACTGATATAATGGGATTAAAGCATTTTAGAAGAAGCAAAAATATTGTTTTAGAAGCAAAGAAGTTTCTCCTCTCTCAAAGACAATCTCACACATTATAAATAAATAAAACTACTTTGAATTTCTGTACTGCACGTAGTTGAAGAGTAGAGCAAGAAGCCTTTATATAACCTCCCTGGTATAAATCTTTCGTCTCCTGAAATGTATTTTTGATGTTTTCCTTCCTGCCCCAGCTACCTTTAACCTATGTCAACGATAACCCTCAGCCTCGCGACACTTTAGACATGGAGGGTAGTAACTTTCTCGGGTACCTGTACTTGCTATGCAGGTCATTGATGGCCGAACATCAAAATTAGGGGATGATCCAGGTCTCCTCTTCTGGTAAAGGATACAGAAAGACACCATTCTCTCGTGTGGTATTATTTATTGACACACCGAATGATTATTCTAAAGTCCGTAGATAAATGCTTTTTAGCTGAAATCAATTACGTCAAAAAAATGGGTACTTACAGTTTACAGTTGATTAAATCTTGTATTATTATTTTATGGATAAACAGGCCTAAGGAAGATAAGTTCAAATGGGCACAGAAAGAGATAAACTTTTCTACCAGAAAATCAGAAAAATCGTAGAACAACTTCTCACAACGGAAAACGTCGCCCAGTCATGATCATTTTTTGCTGCAAACTTAATGCTGTGCCAGAAAAAAAGATAATCCACAGAAATAAGTGTTTATTAGATTTTAATGATTTTTTTTTTTTTTTTTTTTTTTTTTTTTTTTTTAACAAAAACAAGACCTAGAATAGATTTTTGCAAAAATATAAAAATATTGGCGACATTTTTCAAAATGGCGCCACGCATGGGCCACGCATGCGCCACGGGCGTTCTTCTTCTTTTTCATGTATCAGGGCTGAAGAGAACAGTAACCACAGAATCAAAGTAATATTCTTCTTCTTTTCAATATTTCTGGTCCCAATCATGTGCAACCACAGATTTGATTTAGATTTTCTTCTTTTTTATTTTTTCGGCCGCAGCTCCAGGACTATCCGGCCTGTAGATCGGACATTTATAATCTATGGCTAATTATTAGACTAAAGACAACAACAAAATAAAAGGACGAGCAAAACCAATAAAATATCTTTAAAAGATTTTAAATCAACATATACACGATAACGATTCGAAATTTCGTGGTCCAGATAAATATCATCGATATTTTACTCACAAAATCTTCGAGATAATGCAAATCTTTTTCGTTTACAACCTAAAGAAGCCAACCGTTTGATGTCGACGACACTCAATATTCAAGAAAAGTATCAAACTAGCTTTAATTTATGTCCTAATGCTGAATTTCTAGTTGAAACGCTAACAAGATAGAGAATTTAGTAAACAGTTTTCAAAAACAGACTGATTTATCATTAAATAAATAAAATTACGCCTTTGGTGTTGAAGATATTTTTGGACCAGGTATGCCTCACAAAAAATGGAATGTTGTAAAGGGATGAATAATTCTCTTACTGATTTATACAGACGAGATACGTACATTTTCTTATAATACTTAAAACGTGTCTAGAAATAGACCTAAAAAACTTATTATTTACGGTATAGCTTAGTAGAAGATACAGAGTGATTAACAAATTTAAGGCAGATGGGACAAGATTTAGCTCCGAATCAAACAGTTCGTAGCTAGTCGGTGTACATACCAATTTACTTAGTGCTAATATATTTATAAATGCCACACATTAATATTTCTTGTTTCTAGACCAAGATATAACAAATTGTTGTAACTGTGGTTGCGGAAAAACTAAATTAATATTGATGAGTCAAAGACAAGCAAAACCAGGTAGAGTATTGGAAAAAATTTTTGTTCACATTGATACAGTTAAAAAAATAAAACCGGGTTCTGCCAAGAGATGGTGGCTCAACTGTTTTGATATATTCGAATTGTGAATAATGCGCACGGAACTGTCAGACTTCCAATCTCCGCTCACAAATTGCGATATTCTAAGAATTAGCTAGCGAATACGTTGGATCAAGTGAAAACAAATAGAGAGAGGTAAAAACTACCTATATTTTGATATTTTTATCTAATTTTTATGTCTGAATCAACGTATACAAAAGAATACGAAGCAAATAAACAGACTGAGGCATACAAACAATGTAGATTAAAAATATATAATAATATATATTTAATGTAGATTTAAAATATATAAACCAATTTTTTAACAAAATTTTTTTCTTTTATGAGTAAATTAATTTTTTTGGACCCTTGCAAAATTTAACCGCTTTAACGAAGCGGCTTTCAAGGTACTCAGAGAAATAGTAAACGAAGTGATAAAATTATAAAAACTTGGAGAATCGTAGGAAATTTAATGTAGATTTAAAAATATATAATTTTTTTTTTTTTTAAAATTTTTTTCTTTTATGAGTAAATTAATTTTTTTAACCCTTGCAAAACTTAACTGATTCAACGAAGCGACTTTCAAGGCACTCAGAAAAATAGTAAACAGCGATAAAATTATAAAAACTTGGAGAATTGTAGGAAATTTAATGTAGATTTAAAATATATAAACCATTAAGGGCTTAAAATTTTTTCTTTTATGAGTAAGTTATTTTTTTTGGACCCTTGCAAAATTTAACTGATTCAACGAAGCGACTTTCAAGGCACTCAGAAAAATAGTAAACATAGCGATAAAATTATAAAAACTTGGAGAATTGTAGCAAATTTAATGTAGATTTAGAATATATAAACCATTAAAGGCTTAAAAATTTTTCTTTTATGAGTAAGTTAATTTTTTTGGACTCTTGCAAAATTTAACCGATTCAACGAAGCGACTTTCAAGGCACTCAGAAAAATAGAAAACATAGCGATAAAATTATAAAAACTTGGAGAATTGTAGGAAATTTAATGTAGATTTAAAATATATAAACCATTAAAGGCTTAAAAATGTTTCTTTTATGAGTAAGTTAATTTTTTTGGACCCTTGCAAAATTTAACCGATTCAACGAAGCGACTTTCAAGGCACTCAGAAAAATAGTAAACATAGCGATAAAATTATAAAAACTTGGAGAATTGTAGCAAATTTAATGTAGATTTAGAATATATAAACATTAAAGGCTTAATTTTTTTTCTTTTATCTGTAAATTAATTTTTTTTGGACCTTATATGGAGCTTTTTTGTAGTGATTATATGCAACCAGAAATACACGAAATTATTTTATAAATTTGGATGTTTTCTTATATGTTTCGTTTCTTTTACAGCTTTGATGCTAAGATACGAAGGATGATGAAGATCTTTTTTGAATGTTTTTAAATCAAGCAGAAAATCGTCAAACAGAAGGTCACAAAATCAATACTTCTCCAGAGTCAGCTCCAGTGAAGATGGTCAACATTTCTTAATGAGTTTTCGCTTTTATTATTTCTATGCGTTTAGTATCAACGTTCAATAAGCAAGAACTGGAACTACTCCTATCTAGATTACCCAATAAATAATATATTATTGATTACCCAATAAATAATATATTATTGTACTTGGCAACACGGTCGCAAATACTGCGTCACTGGCTGTGTTCAAACAATTTTCACCTTTAAAAGATGTAAGTTTTTTTTGTAATACAGTATTTTCTAGTAGTACCACATAGAGAAACGCGGGTATGCCTTTAAAAAACAAAAACCTTTTTTATTATTCACGTTTTGAGTAAATAATAATATTTTGCTAGATATAAGTTGCTAAACTTTAATAGTAAAGTGTTTATTATGTTTTGAGTGTTTTAAATATATCTCGTTTTGTTTTAGACATGTTAATAATACCACACAAGAGAACGGTGTCTTTCTGCATCCTTCCACAAAAGAGGGCACCTGGATCATTCTCTGACTCTGATGTTTGGCGATTGGGGACCTGCATAGCATATATGGGTACCCAAGGAAGTTACCACCTTCTATGTCTATTAGCCGGGTGATGCTTATATAATCTTTGACCGAGGGTTCAATCAGCTGCAGGCAGATGAATATGCATCAGGAGACAAAGGTTTATGATAAATGGAGGATAGCATGACATAGTTTAGCTCAATCTTGTATTTCTAAACACTAGATTACAAGGAATTAAAAGTAAGTTCTATTTTTTATATTAATTAATATATTATAGATAGAAAAAAAAATCTATATGTAATAGTTTTTGGTTTGTTGAATCAAGTTGTTAAATAAACCTAAAAAAATTAAAGTACACGTAAAATGAATTAATTTTGTATTTAGTTCTTTTTAATTGTGATTTACTGGTTGCCTATGCTTTACAAAAATAAATTTAATACCATTAAGAACAATGTTAATTTCTTTTTTATTTTAGGAATACGTCAGTGTATGTCCCCAGATTGCCTTTAAAAGACAAAAACCTTTCTTATTATTCACGTCTTAATCGACTTTAATAGTAAAGTGTTTATTTTGTTTTGACTGTTTTAAATATGTTTCATTTTGTTTTAGACATAATATGTTAATAATACCACACGAGAGAACGGTGTCTTTCTGCATCCGTCCACAAAAGAGGGCACCTGGATCATCCTCTGACTCTGATGTTTAGCCATTGGGGACCTGCATAGCATATATGGGTACTCAAGGGAGTGACCACTCTAGGAACTGGATGATGCTTAATCTTGGACCAAGGGAAAATCAGCTGCAGGCAGATGAATATGCATCAGGAGACAAAGATTTATGATAAATGGAGGATAGCATGACATAGTTTAGCTCTATCTTGTATTTAAAAACTTTGAAAGTTGTTTAATTATTATTTGGGTTTAATAATGAAATTTCCTACCTAAAAATATATATTAACAAAAAACATGTACTATATTATATTTGTGTAAAATGTATATAGTTAGGACAGGATAATATTAATTGTATATAATTTCTCCAAAAAAAACTATTTATTTAATTTCTACGGTTCTTCCTTGCAGAAGGAATATTTCCAGCATTTTCAAGTCTATTATCGAAGAAAAATAGCAATCTTATACATAAATATATATTTTCTGAGAAAAAAAGGTAAAAGAAACTTATTTAAAAAAAAGTAACGAAGAAAATTGTATAGTCTATTTTCTGTATAATCTAAATAAAAAGACAGTAGTTGTTACATGTGTATATATCTTTTTTAAAGAACAGACTGGTATATCATTATATATTTAAATGTATTAAGCTAGCAAATTGTTTAAGCTGTTTTCTGTGCCATTTGCCATTATTTTTTTTTTATTTATTTTCTCAATAAAAATGCAACATGAAAAAAAATCAAGAGATCGATCAGTCTCATCGTTTTTTTTTACGATAATTCATTACATATTTGTTTCTGCATTTGGTATGATTGCTTACAGGGTAAGCAAATTATTTTTGTACGCCCCGTATAGATTGTATTTGTACAGTTGAATAAAGCTATAATATAGTACTTGATATCGTTTTGTTTATTCCCTAAACACCGATAATTTAAACATGAACGTGAAGAAAGAACGTTAAATAAAAACCCAAAAAAATACAATTATATTTAGTTAGAGACAATGTAGAATAAGTGGGAAGGGGATTAATCACCGTGACCTTAAAGATCTTTGTGTCCCCCTTGAGTTATAACTCATACATGGGAATAGTACCTTTATACAGTCAAAAATAATTCTCACCTTCTTGACAAAATGGTGAAGGTTACGTATTTAAAAATGCATTTTTCTAAAATAAAAATTAATTTAAAATACATTTTCGAGCTCCAGGAATTTGATTTAAAAAAAAACGTAAATATCTCAAAAACTAAGAAAAAAAAAATACCTAAAAATATGCATTTCATTTGATAGAGAATTAAAAGCTCTATCTCTATGAAAAATTCGAGCTCAATCAGAGATATTTTCATTTTTCGGTCTAAATTTAGCAAAGGGGTTCTTACATTTCTTATTAGCCTAGATGCTTTTGAGCCGAAAAATTAAAGTATCTCCAATTGAGCTGATATTTTATATAGAGATAGAGCTTTTAATTTTCTATCCCAAACTAAACCAACTCACAACTTTTTATAGTGGAAGAATTGTGTTGCGAGACTTGGCATTTTTTTAGTTTCGATGTTTTTCATGGGATTAATTATTCTCGGTTCAAGCAGTCATTGTAAACAATGAATTTTTTGAAACATACCTATGAACGTTCTTTATAATACTGTTATCGAGTATCTATCATAGCATTTTTGATCGTGCTATTTTTTTAATAAAAAGTTTATATAAATACATCGTTGCCTAAAAATTACTAGAAATAAGTTTTAAAAATTTTCTCCTAATTATGGAATAGGTAAAATACAGGAAATTTAGTGATTACCTATATAGAACTGTGATCTAGAATTTTTTGTGAAGTCGAAGGAAATGAAGGTTTTTTAAGGCTCGGAATTCGCTCGAAAATTTCTGGCAACGCTGGTAACAGCCAGTAACAGCACTAAACGCCATTGTCATAATTGTCATTTTGTGGCCATATTGTATTTGATTGTATGGATCTTGGTATGGATTATGGATTGTATTGTGTGATTTGTGATTGTATTGCTGATTTTTCTAAATCGGCATACTCATATCGTAATGATCTGTTAATAATTTGGCTGATATAAATGTAAATAAAAGATAGACACATTATACCTCTAAAAGCTTTATTTACTTTTGAGATATTTCAGGTATCAGGTAACTCGAATATGCACATTTTTTAACTAACCATTTCACGCCATTGGCATTTGCCTTGTATACAAGGGCATTAGTTTACAATTATTTTTAATTGAGCCTGTATACGGTATTTTTTATACGGTGCGATATTGTAATAATGAATTTTGAGATAGGAACAAGACCAAAGATAAGTGAGAAATGGACGACCAAAGCCAAGACATTGAAGATCCTCAGGAGTCGTTAACAATTAATTTTAAACCGTCCTATGTGATAGTTGCCATTGATACACACTCGTCGATGTTTAAAACAAGAGAAACGGATGCAAGTGGTGAAACACATTTTTTTAAAGATGCTTTAACTGCCTGTTTTGAAATTGCTGACTCGTTATTGCTTGCAACTGGCAGTAACAGTTTCAACCAGTTTGGAGTTTTGTTGGCCGACGAGGACCACAAAGCAAGTTTAATTGAGGTACTTGATAATACTAATTACATACCCTAATTTTTAGCAATTTCGGGAGAAAATGTCTTTTAATATATATTTTGTAATTATTTTGGTAGGTTGAAAGTAATATGTTGGACTCCATAAAGTTCTTAAAAGAGGAAAGTGGTTTATCCAATGCTGAATTAAAAACAAAATATGAAAGGCAATCCAGTTTAGATGTAGCAGCTTTTTTTCTATTGTGCAAGAAAAAGTTTAAAAGTATTATCTCTGCTTATTACAAGAGAACAATAGTATTTATAACAAATAATGATGACCCTGTGGATGGAGATGCACAAAGAAAGTTTACAGCTCTGAACGAAGCTAAAACGTTTGAGGTATTGTTTGGAATAAAATTGGATCAAAATAGACATTGAAACTGCAACCCATCTTATAAATTTTTTCATTGTAGCCTGTTATAACGTTTTTTTTTAGGGAAATAGTATTAATTTTGAAATAGTTTCAATGATAAATGATTTTGATTATACCAAGTTTTACAATGAATTGTTCCATTTATATTCTGAACCGCCCACAACTGATGTAATATGCCAGGACAAACACGGCATAGTTGAAAAGTTACTCCCCTTAATTGTTTTTCGATATACCAAACTGAGGTCTGTTTTAAAACGAACGTTTGTTTATCTTTAGTAAGACTCCAACTTTCTTTTAGGACTAGATTCTATCCATTTGAGAATGATTATGGCAGACACTTAAACGTGATGAAGATGAATTTTATTCGAAAAGCCAGATTACTCAACAATCAAAAAGCATCCGTTGATGGAAGGATGCTAAAAACTGTTCATGTGCTGCGCGAACTTGGAAGCAATAAGCCTAATCCTTTTAAATATCGGTTGAGATTGGGAGTGGGAGAAGAGCCTTTGCGTTTTAATGAAAAAGATAGATATGATATTGAGGGAAATGATTTACCTCTAGGTAATTATTTCACATGTTCTATTATATATGTTGGATATGTCATTTAGCAAAGGTAAATTGGTGGCAACGGTGGAGGTTTGGTTAGTTGTATTATAAGAAGGTTGTATTATTATTAGAGTGGCAACGTTGATATAATATGTCACTTCTAGCAACCACAACCACAAGAATTGTCAGTTATAATTTAAGAAATCCATTTATTTTTGTTCTTGTAAAATGTTTATCTTAAAAATTGTTTTAAATAAATAAAGAACTCACTAAAAGGTATATGGGAGATATTAGTGCCAACAAATTAGCTAGCAATAATGCACAAAATAAATCACTAATCGATTATTAATATATTTTGTAGGATTTCATTTCCAGTACGTTTCCGATAGACAGTCAGAAGCAGGGGTTGTGGTGAACAAGACCTCCATCCTGGCGTATGATCCCAAAGAGGATTTGGAATTTTTTCAGCACTTTTGGCAGTACTGTTTTGATAGAAATCAGGTCATGGTTTGCATAAAGAAGTATCGCAATCCTGCTCCCATAAGGTCAGTTTATATATATAAAGGTTTGCAGTTACTTTATGCTTAAAAAGTTGGCTATAGTCACGTTCTCCTAATATTTTTTTTAGATATGTGGAACTGATACCAAAATTTGCCAACAATCAGAGACTGTTTCTGATCAAAAACATACCGTTCGCTGGTCAATGTCACCCCCCTAAAGCGGTAGTACTGAATCCTTTGCCCGATTTTGAGGTCAGTGTAGAGAAAAAGGACATGGTCCGGTTGCTGATAAAAGGCCTTTCGTTCGATTACAGTCCAAAAACTTTCACAAACCTCAGCTATGCAAAGAAGAAAGCGTACGTGAAATCTAAGTTGTTGGACGAGCCGTTGGAAGAGGTGGGTTTTGCACTAATATTGGGGCTTTTTCATTGTTTCGTCAATTGATTTAGGTGGAAGACGTGTTTGGAAACGCGGCTCAGTCTATAGACAAAGAAATAGGAGAAGTGGCAAATCGCATCAAAACGTTGTTTAATCTGCCCGATTCTCTGCCAAGAGGTAGAAAGCGAAAAGCTCCCAGCGCCTTATCCAAGGGTAAAAGAACCGCCAAATAAACAAGTTTAAACTATTATCTGCATTATAAGTTCTAATTATGTTATATATTGTTAAAATAGAATGTATTTGTTGATTTTCTGTCATATTTGCCTCTAATTAAAGTTTTTTGGATCAAATTAAGCTTGGAAGTTTCAAGTTAAAGTTATTTCCAGATGTTTATTAATCATATCGATATTATTCCAATCCAAATCAAACCAAACCAAATTCCGATTTTCCAAATTTTATTGTTACCGCCAGCGATATGCGCAAACGCGATCTGTCTTTGTCACCTGTGTTGGTCAGCTTTTATTCTCCTCCTCTTCTGTGGTCAGCTTTTTAAAACTTGACATTTGACATTAAACTTCCTTGATAACCTCATATTTGGTCAAAAAATAAATAATTTTCATGAAGTGATCTCAAACATTAGACGGGTATCCGTACTTAAATCAAAAACATTAAGTAGAATATATTAATATAAAATTTAAATCAGTAACTTCAAGATTGGCGACGTACCTAAAAGGTACAATCACCGAAAATTTAGAAATGGATGTTTTTAACAAATATCTTTCACAAGTAAGCAGTTCTGTTAGCCAAACAGTTTCCCAATTATCGGGTGTTTTACCCGGAAATCCTGTAACCAGAGAGTACGAATCTTCCGCTCACATCGCTTCAGCAGGTCCTGGTAAGCATAATTTGATTTAACATCGCAGTTTAACATTAAGACTATTTCCGAATTGTTTCTAGGATTATTGTGGAAAATATACAAGGGTATCAAGCGAAGTACTAAGCAAGATGCGTCGATTTTTGTGTTTGAAAAGCGTCAGCTAGACAAATGGAATAAGACAGATAGGGAATTGATTTTAGAGACTTTAAGGTATGGTGTACAACAACTGACCAAAATACGGCATCCACAAGTATTAACAGTTCAACATCCCATGGAAGAAAGTAGAGAAAGCATCGCCTTTGCTACTGAGCCCGTGTTTGCTAGTTTGGCTAATGTGTTGGGTGAAACAGTCAACATGCCGCAACCAGCTAATATGTCAGATTATAAACTCTACGATATAGAAATAAAATATGGATTGTTACAAATATCAGAAGGTCTAGCTTTTTTACATAATGATGTGAAGCTTTTGCACAGGAATATTTGTCCAGAAAGTATAGTAATAAATTCTTGCGGGATATGGAAGATTTTTGGTTTGGATTTCTGTGTGCACAATATCAGTCCAGCCAACCAGCCAGCAAAATATCCATTCTATGAATATTCTCCTACTGTACCATATATATCTCAACCAAAATTAAATTATTTAGCACCAGAATGTTTTCAAAGTCTGAATCATTCAACAGCTAGTGACATGTTCTCCTTTGGTAAGAGCGAATAATTGCTCACACTTGTTATATTTAAACTAACAGTTATTGTAAATAATTTTAGGAATGTTGATCTACACTGTTTATTCTATAGAAAAACAATGTCTATTTCCCTTGAGAGATTTTAATGAACATAAGTCAAGGGTACAGCAGCTGAAGAACTTGAGTACAAGCTTAACTAGAAATACTAAACTCCTTAATATTCCAGAAGGATTGAAAGAATCTGTTATGCTGCTTCTTAATGTCACTCCAGAAATTCGACCAGATGCGCATCAATTTGTTAAAGTAAGAAGGTTTCAATAATTATATCATTAAATTTCATGGTATTTTCCTTGATTTTAGATTCCCTATTTTGATGATGTTGGTATCAAGACTCTCACTCATTTAGATTCTCTGTTACAATGGGACAATCTGCAAAAGTCTCAGTTTTACAAAGGTCTTCCCGAAGCCTTATCAAAATTGCCGCACAGGGTACAGCTGCAGAGGGTGCTGGCTTGCTTGGTTCGTGACTTAGGCCAACCCAGCATGGTTCCCTTTATCCTGCCAAGTATCTTTGACATAGCACGAGATTGTACCAAAGAGGAATATGTAATCTACATTTTGCCACAACTGAAACCTCTAATGAAACTGATAGAGCCAATCCAGGTAATATTATTTTATTTATAGCTCTATTAACTGGACCCAAACAGCTGAACTTTGTAGGTCTTGTTAATAATGCTCCAAAGAATGGAACTGCTCTTAAATCTAACCCCAGCCGAGGATATACAGCAACATGTGTTACCAATGCTGTACAGAGGATTAGATGCAGACTCACCCCAAATTCACGAATTGTGCCTGTCTGTGTTGCCTACCTTTGCAGGGCTCCTGGACCACGCCAACGTTAAGAACAGCCTCCTGCCTCGCATAAAGAAGCTGTGCCTCAGCACCTCCACATTAAGTGTCAGAGTCAATTGTTTGTTGTGCGTGGGTAAGCTGTTGGAGCACTTGGATAAGTGGCTTGTTCTGGACGAAGTGCTTCCCTTTCTGCCGCAAATACCTTCCCGCGAGCCCGCGGTGCTCATGGGCATTCTAGGGATCTACAAGATAGCGCTCAACCACAAGAAGCTGGGCATCAGTAAGGAAATTATCGCGACGAGGATATTGCCGTTCCTCATTCCTCTGTGCATCGAGAATGGATTAACCTTGCCGCAATTTGGAGCCATAACCGCCCTAATAAAAGACATGTTTCAGCTGGTGGAGACAGAACATCGCACCAAATTGGAACAGCTGAATTCCGTCAAGGACGAACAGAAGATGCTCACTTCTGCAATGCCTAGCATACCTTCTACCATCAAGCCTGCAAATCTTGCTGATGCTTTCTCTGGGCTGGGTCTAGAAGACTTTTCGGCAGGTTCCTCAAACGCGACCGCTTTTAGTCTGGAGCAGAAGCAATCTCTGGCCCGTCAGCAGGAGGCCATGAAAGTGTTTCAGCACCAAACTAGAATAGAACCAAAAAAGGTCGTGAATATCCCTAAAGCACAAACTAAAGATCTAACTGGCAGTTTATCACAGGATTATTCTCTGCTTGAGAGAACCGACGAAAATCAATTAAAAATTTCCACGAATAATAACAATATCAATCAAAGACAAGATCGTGCCTCAGTTAATAGTTTCACCACCGATGCAGGTTTTGGACAGAACTTGAATCAGTTAAATTACAGGCCCTTGGGACAAAGTTCAACATTTCACAGCATGAATCAGAATATTAATCCCTGGAGCTCTAGACAGCCTCAGAACTTCAACAAACCCTCTAATAATACAGCTCAAAGTTGGTCTGCCTTGGATAATCTGTTGCCTCCCGATTTCAACAGTAGTCAAAAAGGTTTTACTGGTCAGGCTCCCTTGTTACCACAAAACTCCGCTAATGGTAATCAGCTGAGTCAAAGTGACTTATTAGATTTTCTCAATTAAAGTGAACTTGTATATTTAACTAGCTTTTTATTGTGCAATATTTTTTATGTTAATTTATTTCTCTCATTTTACATTCCATAACCGTATAAAAAATTAGTCAGTAAAACAAGTATTATGGTTGATAAAGTTTTATTGGTTCTAATAAATATACACAAAAAAATTTATATGCCTTTTCTTTGCTCACACTTACTATATCTGTATAATTGCTCCAAAAAAGTCCTATAACTTAATCTATAGTGGGATTTTATGCATAAAAATTCTGTTAGTCTCATTTGCCAAGGTGGATAAGCACAAAAGTTTAAACTTTTCCCACAGACGAGCCCTAATTCTGGATCGGGAAATTGAAAATATTTGAAAAGACCCCTATCAATATCTTCTACTGAAATATCTTTAGTCCTTACAGTGCTACTTAAAGATTTAGTTAAATTTACTACACTAGCTCTTCCATCTTCTTGTTTAAGGATTTTTACGTGGACTTTCCTGCCTGAAAATCCATTTCTATATGTTATGTCTGAACTATTATGCCAGATAACATGATCATCAGGTTTTAATTTTCCGTTCAGTTCCTTCTCTAATTTGTGCTGATGTAAACTTTCTGAAAAGGAGTGATAAGTTCATACTAGAGGAAAAAGTCAAGGGTCACTTAACATTAGTTTTATCTCAAAAATACTTTAAAGCTAGAGATTTTTAAATAGATTTAAAGTAAGCTAAGGCAAAAATAAAAAATAGCTATATACCTACTTAAAGTAAATTACCTGTAGGATCATAGAAACTAAGATAAATAATGTGATGTTTAATGCACCATAATACAATATTACTTAAATCTTTATACGACGGCTTTTCTTTTACCAGCAGTACTGTTAAATGTTTAGGTAGCTTATTTCCTTTTTCAAGCTCACATTTTAAATAATTAATCCTGTGAGCGGTACAAAACTCGTGACAAAAATCAACAAATCCATGTATTATCCTCTCCAATAAATCAAATATACCTTCCAATACGGTAAATATCCCATGTATTATGTTATAAAGAATTTTGAAAAACAAACTGTTAAACATTTTATTTAAAAACAATACACTTTTCACATAATTTTTATTAATTAGTTGTAAATTATAAATACCGTGGCACAAAGTAAAATATTATTTTGTAAAAATCATAGTTTGTGTATTTATTACGTTGGCAATACTGTTGTCACTTGTCATACTGTTGTATTGGTGCGCCGAAACGTAAAGTTAGCTATAGACGACTTCTTTTCAAAAATTGAATAGATTTACTCCCATCATATATATTTGGGCTAGGAAAGTACTGTCTAAGTGGTAGAAGTAGTCTGCGGCCAAGGGTCTGCGGCAGCTAACTACCAGGATGTATGACTTTAATCGTGATGATCTGTGGTTAACTAAATGCCATATGTCAAAAAATATAATTTTAATTAAAATGGCCGTCTATTTTTAACATTTTACAATGTTTTTTAATATAGAGTAAAATAAGTCAAAACAGGGCTTACAATTGTGATACAGTTTTATTACGGTGCCTTTGAATTATATTATACTATTATATATTGAATTTACTTTCCGTGCTGTACACTGTCTACCTAGTTATAATAAAAAGTTTATGAGAATTTTGGAACAATGATAACTGATCAGCTGCATTTACCTTTAATAGTATGGTGCTAAAAGAATACTCTTCGAGTTAGTTCTTGAATTAAGTATTCTAAAGAGATATAATGGCTGCGTCCCCGACTGACATAGAAGAGTTCTTGGGAGGCCCTTTGGTTAAATGGGTAAGTAAAAATTTTTTTAATTTAGTTTTTGATTGGAATTATATACAGCCTACCGTTTTAGCTTTCTACTTGTGTAAAGAAACCAGATTGTTTACAAGTCTACGAGACATTCTTTGATGGCACAGCCATTAATGAGGTTTTGCTTCAAATTGATCCCGAACCATCTCTTCCAGTCCCCACAACGGCCAATCTACAGGGCTTGCATATTACGGCAGCAAGAACAAAGGTATTTCACTGTATTATAAGGAACATAAAAAGTATTTATGAAGAGGAACTAGGACAAGTTATTATTAGTCTCCCAGATTGTGTTACTTTAGGTTTGTATTGGGGGTATTGAATTACAAAAATTTTATATACCTACAACTTGTTATTTTTTGTAGGTAGAACTCCAGCTTCTCAAACTGCATTGGAACAGTTAAAATTATTAATATTGTTGTTATTGGGGTGTGCAGTACAAGGCCCTACAAAAGAATCATTTATAGCTAGAATTAAAGAGTTGGATTTGGAAGTGCAACACAATATAGTGGAGTGTATTAAGCAGGCAAATAGATATATCTATTTTTTCTGTTTCAAATATGAAAATTGTATTGTTTATTGTAGGTAACAGATGGGCAAAACTTGGTGCTTACTGGAGATTGCTCTAATCATTCCACTCAGAACTTGTATTTGCACGTTCGATCTCTAACTACAGAACGAGACAAGCTACTACAACAATGGGTGATTGACTTGGGCCAAGAGAATAACGGCAACATAGTAAAAAATGGAACAGAAGAGGTAGAATCAAATCATTGGGCAGTTGAACTTGCCGACTGGAAAGCCAAACTTAGAAAACAGAGACAAGAATTGTAAGTACCTAACCTAGAACATTTCTTAGCAGTCAGTTAAACGTTTGAATTTATAGGGAAGAGAAAACTGAAATTTTGACAGAATATAAAGAGGAACTTGAACATGCCAATAATTTAGTAACCAAACTAAAAGCAGAAGTGTGTTGTATGTTTTAATTGCAAGTCTATCAGCTTAATACTGTCATTTTTAGAACAGCGACTTACTGACAGAAGCCAGGAAGGCTAAGGCGTACAGAGATGAGGTGGATGCAATAAGGGAACGAGCAGAAAGGGCCGACAGGCTAGAGTTGGAGGTGCAAAGATATAGAGAAAGACTTGCAGATGCAGAATTTTATAAAGTTAGGGTGGACGAACTCAGGGAAGATAATAGGGTGTTGTTAGAGACCAGGGGTAAGTAAATAACATGTTTACCTGTAAAATTTATACAATTTATTGGCCGTTGCAGAAATATTAGAGGCGCAATTAGTTAAGATTAGACAAAGAGCAGATCAAGTGTTGGAACTGGAGGCAGAATTGTTAGCTTGCAAACAAAATACAAACGACCTTATACTGGTAAAGTTTTTGAAAACAATTTTACCGCTGTATTAGTAATAAAATTGTAGGAAAGAGATGCAGCTAGGGAAAAGATTCAAGAATTGGTGGAGGAAAATTTGCAGTTACAGCAAATAACCAAGTCAGCATTACAGGATACAAGTTTAGGCAACATCACTACTGATTCAGATCAAGAGGAATCGAATTCAGGCGATAACAGTCTCTCTGAACAATTGACCAACAATGCTCAAGCAAGAGCCTTGAAATTGGAATTGGAAAACAAAAGTAAATATTATTCTTCATATACAGGGTGGTCCGAACTGTATTCTGGAAACTTCGGTAGCATATTCTGCAGATAAAAATAAGTAAAAAAGTTCGTATAAATGTATGTCCTAAAATGCTTAGTTTCGGAGATACAGGGTGTAGAAGTTTCATTTTTATTTCGATTTTTTTCCAAATAATTTCTGAAGTAACGTCAATATTTGGATGAAAATTGGTGTCTGGGAGTTTTTTGACATGAGAAATTTCATTTTGGTGTCAATATGACTCCTACTTGTAGAGTAGACTTTTCATCCAAATATTGACGTTACTTCATAAATTATTAGGAAAAAATCGAAATAAAAATGAAACTTCCACACCCTGTATTTCCGAGACTAAGCATTTTATGACGTACATTTATACAAACTTTTTTACTTTTTTTTATGTGCAGAATATGCTGACGAAGTTTCCGGAATACAGTTCGGACCTCCTTGTATAAAATTTTAAAATCAAAATTTTAAGGTGCTCATTTGGTGTATTATGATTGTTTATCATTTTTTAAGATTAAATTAACCTTTAATATTTAGGGCTGCTGACTACCATCGAGTCCTTGAAGGAGAACAATTTTCGCGAAACGTCGGGCAAAATTCTCGACCTCGAAAAGGAAAAGAAAAAACTGAGCCTGAAATGCGAACAGCTGCAGGAAAACGGCGACCGACTGGCGCAACAAAACTCCGAGCTGGAGAGCCTGTTCAAGAACGCAATCGTCGAAAACAAGAAGCTGCAGGCCAACCTGGACTCTCAAAAACTGGTCCTGGACAGACAGAACCAAGAGGTCCAGAACGAAAAGACGAAAATCGGCGACCTGGAGAAGACCATCGACGGTTTGTCCAAGGAGAAGCAGCGGGTCCAAGCGCTGTGCGACGCCGTTAAAAAACGGGCGGACGACGCGGAAAAATGCCTGAACCAAACCATGGAGGAGGTGCGGGCCTTGCAGCGGGCCGCGGAGGAGGGAAGAAAGGCCGAAATCGCCGAGAAGGAACTGCAGGAGCGGGTGGCGGTGCTGGAAAAGGAGAACGCCGGCCTGCAGAAGGAGGCGGTCAAGTTGAAGGAGGCGGTCGAGGCCAAGGACGTTCTGTTAGACGTGAATATCGGAGAAAAGGAGAAGAAAGAGAAGGAAATGCAGCGGCTGCAGCAACGGAACGTCGCTCTGGCAGAGCAGCTGGAAAAACTGCAGGAGTTCGAGAAGAAATCGGCCGAGCTGGTCTCCAGGGCTTCGGTGGACGCCGACACTATCAGCGCGCTGCAAAGGGATCTCGTTAGGGAAACCGTGAGTTTACAAAATAGAACATTTTTCAATAATAAATATCATGGTTTCAAAAATTAAAGCAGTATGGTTCAGTTAACAAAAGTAATATCTTCAAATATATTTAGGAAAAAGATAATTTTTTTTTTTTGGACATTGTTTTTTTCTTTTGTAGAGTTTTGTGGGCAAAAAAAGGAGATTATTATTGTTTAAGAGTGATTTAATCAACAAGATTATTATAATACAGGGTGTTTCAAAAAACATGTGGTATATCTCGTGGAGAGTGCTAATTGGCATCGGTTCGATTCTACTTTGTTTCGTAGCTACAGGGTGTTACAGATTTAATTTTCTTTTCATTTAATATAATTTTTTTCCAAATACTTTTACCGATTTTAACGATATAAAACAGTTCTTCTAATGACCAATTTGTGCATTTAATTTAATTTTTAGGTCGGAAACGAAAAACTAAAATCCAATCTGGAAAAACTGGGACTAAGTTTGGACGTTCTGGATGGCGACGTGAACCTTATAGTAGCCAGGTTGCTCGATAACGAAAACGTTTCGAAATGCGTTTATTCCATCATCAAGGAAAACAAATGTATAGGCGAGACCGCTTGCAAGACCTGCGAAGGAAACGTCTTGAAACAGGTAAAGTATTTAATTTTCTCTCGTGTCCGATTTTAGAGACTGAAATTTCTAGACGGAGGAAGTGGTCAAGTCCGTCGTCGAGGAATGGCGGCAACGTTGCGAGAAACTGCAGGCCGACGTTGCCGCGTCGCAGTCGCTGAAGGAGGCGCTCCAGAACGAGAACGCCACGCTCAAGGTCGACGTTTCCACGCTCAAGTCGCACGTGCACACATTGCAAACGCAACAAACCGCTCTGCAGCTGGCCAACAGCCAACTGGTGGCGGAAAAAGAGGAGGTGGAACAGTATAGCATGTACAGGGTGATTCTTAGGGCCTCCGAAAAAGCTATATAGGGTGTTTTAAAAAGCATGTGCCATCTCTCGTGGGGAGGTTCCTCACGTAAAAATAAGATTTATTTTTCATATTAACAAGGTCCGATTCTACTGTTTCGTAGGTACAGGGTGTTAAAGGTTTAATATTTTTTCATATGTAGCACTTATAGTAACTTTTATCCTCAAAATTTCGTTCAAATCGCTAAAAGTACCTACTTGGAAGAAAATTATAATAAATCGAAAAATTATTAAGACTTTAACACCCTGTAGCTACGAAACAAAGCAGAATCGGACCTATGTTGATATGAAAAGTAAATCTTATTTTTACGTCAGCCATCTTCCCAAGAGAGATGGCACCCTGTATATTGGGTTTTTGCTTTGCGAATTTTATTTCAATTTTTTACATAGGTAACGTACATATTTTTGTCAACATAGTATGTTGCACTTTATGTAAACAAAATGAAACCAAATTCACAAAGCAAAAACCCAATATAGAGCATTTTCGGAGGCCTGAATCCACCCTATATAAAAATCTGATTTTTTTGTAACGAATCATTTTGCTGTAGCTGTCGAAGAGACAACGGCTGCAAACCGACCAGCAGGGCGCCCTCCTTTCGGACCAGGCCACCCTGCGCTCCCTGCACGACCAGCTGGGCCGCGAGTACGAAGAACTGAAGACGGAACGGGAGAGCCTGAAGAGGACCAACAGGGACCTCCGGTCGGAGATCAGGAGCCTTAAGGAGACCAACGACGGCCTGGAAGTAAGGATTTCCAACGTGGAAATGGAGAAGGAGAACTTGCGGGCCGACGCCAGGAATCTGAACAACCTCAGGGCGGAACACTCGAAACTGAAGGTGGGCGACGAAAGACTCACATTTCATACAGACAGTTTTTTTTTTAAATTTTGTAAATAAACCATTTCAGGACGATTTTCGAAACTTGTTCACCGCGAGCGAACGGCTCAAGGTCGAGTACAGGAATCTGCAGGACGAGCTGAAGAACCTGAGGCTGGAGTCGCGAAACCTGCGCCTTAGGGAGACGGAAATCCAGGACGAACTCAGCACCAGGTCGGACAAGGCGGCCGGACTGCAGCTGGACAACGCCAAGTTACAACAGAAATGTGATGTAAGCATGTAAAAATGTAATCGCAAAACAATTTCCGATTCGCGCGATCAACTTTACATGATTTTTCATTAATTTATTTGGTTGCGAGCAGATGTTGTTCGAGATGAACAACTCGTTGGACGCGGACAGGCGGGCCCTCATGGACCACGTCTCTCAGTTGCTGACCCAGTACCATTCTTTGCTGACCCATTCCCTAGAGGACAAGCAGCATTACCATTTAGAAGAGAAATTGTTTACCGACAAGGTGAACAACTTGTGCAGGCAGAAGGAGAAGCTCGAGGAGAAAATTATGGAGCATTACCGAAAGCTGGACAATGCGTCGGCGAAAAAGTAATTAAATTAAATTACTAACTGTAATTTAACGTTATTCCTAATCTCTAATACATTCCTAATTGACAGGAGAGGTTTTTCGACGTTTGTGAGCAGAGTGAGGAAGGCCAGTTCGGACATAATAAACAAAGTACCTAGCAGAGTGAGTGGTTTCTATATTTTCGTTCATATATTAATTTAAAAACAAATATATAATATTACTTTTCTAGAACCGAAGATCGTGGCACGAAGACAGCGCCCGTTTAACCCAATCCCAGTTCACTTTGGCAGGACCGGGCTCTGGCGAATCGGATAATAGGGACTCTGACAATAGCGCCGAAGAACCGGCAGGGAAACAGGTTCCTTTAGAACCCTTTAAAAGGAACACTATAGGTATGGTGAAATCAGATGAATATATTGCGTGGACTGGCAAATTCTACGCTTACTTAATTATTTTTGACTTTTTTTAAATAAATATAATAATAAAACATTTCTAAATGCAATGTTTTCTTGACAAATTGGCGAAGGCGACAGTTAAAATATTTTTTTAATAAAGAAATATTTCTCTGATTAAATGATAAAATCTAATATTAAGTTCCTAGCATATTTAGTCAATTTGTAAGTTAAATAGAGAAATAAAAAAATGAAACTTCATTAAATAAATATTACCCACACACGAAAGGAAAAAAAAACGTTCACAGAAAGGAAACAAGAATAATTTCATTAAATTCCTGTATAAAAAATAAACTTTACTTTTTCTGTATATCCATAATAATTTTGTAAAACGAAATAACACATTAAACATGCAAAATATGATTTTTTGGATTTATTTCAGGAACTGGTAGCTTACATGGGCACAAGCCCAGGGACGAAGTAGCGCTGCGCAGATCGCACAGGGACCTTGGCGCGCACAGGACCAGCATAGCCAGTAAGTAGTTCTCATTTCAATGCATCGGGAATCGTCACCAATGACTTAATTCTACAGGCGACGGCGTGTTTGGCCGCGAACCCGGAAGTCCCCTCAGCCTGGGCTCGGTGGGATCCCGTAGGACGGTTTACTTGTCCGAAGAGGACGCGGCGCCTGTGTCATCGTCCCCTCCGGCGCCTCCACCTGTACAGCCCCTGGCCCCCTTGTTGGTCTACAACAGAATTTCCACCGTTATTGGTAGTATAGAACAGAGGGCGTCCCAGGCTGAGCGTGTATTAAAAGTTTTTAGAGAACTACAATGCCTAGATCAGAGATTTTTTGCACACCATTGTTTTACAATGTGATCTATCTATATTAAAGAAATTTTCAATATGGCACCACATCAGGAAATACCAGAAGTTGACAGCAACTTTCTTATTTTAAATGGGTGCCCTCGTTTTTTATTACGTATTTAAATTCTCTGTAAAATTTTATGAATTTTAGAAACTTCTAATGCACGCTCAGCCTGGGACACCCTGTATAAAACCAGTGCTATAAATAGACTGTACTTGTCTTAATATAGGTGGAGACGCTACGCAGTCCCAGCCGAAGCTACCCCCCAGTCCGCAAGTGACTTCGCCCCCCAACAACGACGAGGGCGTCACTAACGGCGAGAAGAGGGACAAGAATTCCAAAGAGACGGCCATCTGGTACGAGTACGGGTGCGTTTGACTCGAACCCGTGGCCTCAACCCGTTCTTCCTCAAGACACACCCCAGCTTTAACTATTTATTACACGCAACGATTAATTTTATTATGCTTTTCATTTACGGATCACGATTAATTTATTCCTTGTTAATAATAGGATTATTGGTTATTGCCAGAGCTACTTAAAGACTAACAATAAGCACTTAGCTCTATCGAAATCGGTCTTCCTTAAGTACGAACGCGCTTTTTTCCAGAAAAAATAAAAACCGGAATTTTTCCTGGCGTAATAAGTATAAAGACTCGTAGAAAGGTGCCTTCATACCGGCTGCGCCGCGCAAAACATTTTTTTAGCATGTTCTTTGGAAGTGTATTTTTTTAGCACAAAAGTATATGTTAAAAAAATTATTTGCGCGGCGCAGTTGGTGTGAACGCACCTTAAGTTCGTCCTCTTAACTTTTTAAAATCAAAATCGTATTTTATTAGTAGAATATCCAAGTTTATTTTGTTAATATCTGGTGACAATTATTTTATAAAAACATGTACAGAGTTCCTATAATATCTCGTCAGTATTTTTTTTTCTAGGTTTTTTCAGGCAGTGCAAAAAAAGATTTGTTTTGTAACTTGTTTTAGACAGAAACAAATTACCATTTTATAGTGATATTTACACAAGCTGTTTTTTTTCTTCTGCGTTTTTTAGAGGATAGTTTTAATTTATAAGAGTAAACTAGGTTTTTTTCAGGATTTTTATAATGTGCAACGACAAAATAATAAACTTTTTACAACGACTCCAAATATTTTATTATACAGAGAACGAGTTTGGTTTTTTGTAACAGAATTCTGTGCCTCCTACGTTTACTGAATGTCCCTCTTTGGCGTTTCTTGGTAGAGTAGAAATTACACTCTGCAAAATAAATTTATTGCATTAGTTGATATTAAAACGATTAAACTTTTTTTAATTTACACGAGCGGCTTTTTCTCCTTTCTTCATGTATCCAATACCTAAATATGGTGTGGTATGGGTCCACAACAAAGATATGTCTCCACTACAACTATCAGCCTTTAAAACTAACGCTCCCCCTAGTTTTGGTGCTTCAGTTTGTTGTAAATACCTAGAGTAATAAAGCAAAACAACTGTATTTTTTAGTATTAGGTCTACAATAATTCTTGATATTTTTACCTTGAATTCATAAAGTTTTCAGTCATTGATTTGTACAGGCTCACTGTAGGACAATCCGTATTCTTAATTAGGTCATCAGCCAGTGCTTTTGCTAAAAACGTTTGCATGATTTGCTCTCCACATCCCGTCGTACATACTGCTACAGATGACCTGTCTTGTCCATTGCAACTATCAGCCCACACGCCGGAGCCATAGTGAGCAGCTTGTCCTACTCGACCTGGACGTTTTAATAGGAGCCCACCTAAAACATTTTAAAACTTGTTTTTCAGTCATATTTACTCTATTATTATAACTAACCAGAGCTACAACCAGCTGCTACATGCCCTCTCTCATCAATACACACAGCACCCACTGTATCATTACGATTTGAATAATCAATAGTGAATTCTACAGGGTCTGCACAATCTTTTTTGAGTGTGGTATGTTCAAGAAGTCTTTTATATTTCTTATAATACTTTAAAGCCTTTGGACTTATCAGTTTATCATCTTTGACAATTTTTATACCAGATTTCTTAGCATGTTGGTATGCTCCAGATCCAACCAAGAGTTGTGGTGGAATTAATCCTTGAAACCATAAGGTTTTAAATTTATAAATATCATATTTTTAAGGTAAGTCACCTAATGGCAATGTAGTTGATTGTTTCTCATAGATATCATGTGCTAATACAATAGGGTTTTTAACTTTTCTGACCGCTCCACAAGCTCCAAATTTGAGATTTTCTCCGTTCATGATAGAGGCATCACATTCTACATAGCCTTCTAATGTAAGATTTGAACCAAAACCTGCATTTGTAGATGGGTCGTTCTCCAACACTGAGAAAGATAGGTTTGGCTTTAATAATTTTAACATGTCTCATTTTTTACCTGTTAGGGCTTCTCTTACAGCATGTATTGCAGTTCCTCCTTTGTCTAAAATTGCTATACTCTTTTTGCAAGCTCTTTTACTTAATACTTTGTATTCTTTTATTGTTCCAGAGTTATATTGACCAGCACCTATAACTTTCAAATTAGCATTTTAAATAGCAAGGAATAGCAATAATTGTTTGAATTACCGCAATGAACTGCAATCATAACTAGATATTAATGATCTGATATTAAACTGCAATCTTTTTTAGATGTGTTGTGTTCTGGTATCGGCTACCTAATTTAAATTGTTTTGTAAAATCGTACTCCGTCTATCCAAATCTAAAAAGAAGAAAATAGAATAAAATCAATATTTATTAATCTATTATAAGCAGTTATAAGATATTTAAATAAACCTTAAATAAACGGAGAAAAATTGAATGAAAATTTATTACCTACAGATTATATATTTTTACTGATTTTTACATTACGTATTTTACTACTAGCCAATTATATTTTGTGACATCCATTATTACATACACCACAGATCCCATAAGAAGAACTTTTTCAGAGATATGGAGAAAATTAGTTCCTTATATCTCTGATCTCCTCATATTAGCATATAATTCTAATTAGCTATTCTGTGGTAACTCTATCATATATTTGCTATGATCATATTTCTGATTATACTCTGTGTCATTATCTAGACCGGATAATCGTGGTAGCTTAGGCCGTAACTAATTTTGAGAGAAGAAATTGACATTTTAGAATTTAGAATAATCTGTGGTCACCAAAAGATCCCTGTGATATTTTTCTTCGGAAAAAAATTAAATATGCCTATTTTAATGTACCACCAACACTAAAATAGATCAAGATGTATTCTGGAAGCGATTCCGCTGACTCGCAGAAGTTTAAGCAATGGCCTATAAATCCAGCGGCCTATCAAAACACGCCAAACGACCAAGTGGATTGGGCCGCTCTGGCTCAACAATGGATCATCATGAAAGAGGCCGGTCCACCTCCCATTCCAGGTGAACAACCCGTCATACTAAACAAGGAATCTAAGAGCTCCAAAAGTTATATAGACGAATGTGGAGAAGCGCCTATGGAAGTAGAGACTGACAAAGATGAGGCCTCATCTTGGAGTTCGTCAGCGCTGGACAATGCACCTCCGCCGCCTGGAACAGAGGCTTGGAGTAATTGGAATCCACCTTCGAACTGGAACTGGTCCAACAGTTGGAATGTACCCAGTGGTGTACCTCCACCCATTGGAATACCACCTGTTAAAACTCCCCTTTTGCCCACTCCAGAATCATTTTCTAGTCCTCCAGATAATGCAAACGACAATGCTGTATCTTTCAAAGGTAAGTAGGTTTTGTTAGAGTATCCAGTACACTAAAATGTTTAATTGTAGGATACACAACTGCTCCACCACCAAATAACTTTACACCAGGTTTTTGGACGGGAATGGGAGGTGGGAAAATAACTCAGACTGAGATAAAGCCACATAATAAACGTTACAGTAAAGTGAATGTTCCCACAAAAGTAACAATTATTACTCCTCCAGCCAGCACACCAGCTGTTGCACCTGCACCAGATATAATGGCTGTACCAGATCCAGTGCCTGTTCCTGTTCCAACACCAACTCTGGATGCCAATAAAAGAAAACAACTTCCTGCGTGGATCAGAGAGGGTTTGGAGAAAATGGAGAGAGACAAACAGAAACAGCTGGAGAAGGAGAGAGAAAAGTACGAGAGGGAGGAGTACAAGGAGAAAATTAAACAAGAGGAGAAGGAAAAGATGGAGATACTTAAAACCACAATGCACGAAAGGGAGATGAGAAAAAGCAGATTTGTGAGTTTTTATCTAGAAATTGTTTATTAATATTATGTTTCAATGGTGTTATAGGACAGTGATGATAATAATTCAGATGAAGACATACCACGAACAAAGAAATTTTCTCCACCACCCATAACTCCCATGACTCCTGAACAACTGGTGAGTTATAAAAGTGATTTAACCTGTATTTATACCCATTTTTTCCTCTTTTTTAGATGATAAAAGTCCGGAAAATTATGACAGAAATTCTGTTGAAAGCAACTAACCAGCACATTGAGCAGATCTGCAAAGAGGAGATACAACGGTATTTAAAGAAAACTAGAGGTATTTTAGTCAATATAAACCTAAATAATAAACGTGAAGTTTTTTTTTTATTATCACTCACCTATAGCAAAAACATTGTTTATATGAGATTTTTATAGTGGGTTTTTTCGACTGCAAAGTCCAAAAAGGTTTTTATTAACCAGTTCTTATAAACTTCAGCTTCCGATCACCTAGCTTCCGCACCCAGTGGTGCCGTCTTAAGCGCCAAACTCGGTAAGTGTTAATTATTGTATAAAACTCTATCACCTTTTTTCTACACGTTTTTATCCCCTCAGTGCTTCTTAGTCCCCGAAATAAGCTATATTCTTCCCCTTCCAACATTCCAAGCTTATAATCCACCCGAGGTAAATGCTTTTTTACGTTGTGACTTCTTGTAATAGGTCTGGGTGTCTATGACGATGGATCCGACAGCGACAGCGGAGAGGATCACACTGACGGGGCCAACAGGGACAGCCAGAGGAACGACCAAAACGATTCGGACTTGGAACTTAAAGTTTGTAGACGAGAAAACGTTCTAGGGAATTTTACAAATTTTTTTACTGTAGGAAACCATACGTAGGAAGCAGGCTGAATTTGCCAAGACCGAGAGAGAGATAGAAGCGAGGTTAACGGAGGCCGAACAGAAGAAAGGACGCAGCAGGAGCGAATCAGAATCTTCCGAGTCCCGCGACGGGAATAGCTCGCCCGCGCAGCTCCACGTAGACGGTAGGTCCCGTTCCTGTGCCAAGACGGAAAATTAAGCTTGTATTTTTAGGAAATTCCCAAAAACTCGCTCCGGAAGAGACTAAACACCAAACCAAGCGACACAGTTCGGTCAGTTCTTCGGCCAGCTCCAACTACTTGGAAACTAAAACTAAGATGTCGCGCCGGAGGTCCACGTCCAGTTCCAGGAGCGACTCCAGAAGGAGGAGCGACAGTCCGGAACGCGACAGACGGAGGAGGGACGCGAAAAGGCGCTCCAGGAGTAGCGAGTCTGGAAGGAAAACCAAACGAAGCAGGCGGTGAGTCGACGCAGGCAAACTCTCGATAAATAATCGATAAATCTTCCCGTTTCAGGTCTCGATCCGACTCTCGTTACTCCCGACGCTCCCGCAAGAGCCGTTCCCCCTCCAAGTCCTCCTATTCCTCGCGGCGTTCGGTCAAATCCTCCCGCAGGTCGCGGTCGCGTAGCACGTCGCGGGAGCGCAGGCGGGGGAGGTCAAAGAGGTCGGAGTCCCGCTCCAGGACGTCCTCCAGGAGGCAGCGGTGGTCGCGCTCCAGCTCGCGGAGGAGGTCCAGGTCGAGGTCCAGGAGGAAGGAGAGGTCCAGGTCGAGGAGGCGCCGCTCGTCCAGGTCCTCCAGCAGGGGTAAGAGGTCTCACAGACGCTGAGCCCAGCAAGGAAAAAAATTGAACCCTTACAGGTTGTATATTCTATGCTTTTCTATTTACGTTTATGATTATTATTTAAAAAATATATATATTAATGTACTTGTTTCTTTCCCAGGTATATAAATAAAGGTTCCCAAGTCTCAGCAATCTAGAGAAGAATTAATTATTGTGTATATATTAGTTTTAGATTCCTAATTAAATACAAGTTCTTGTGTTAGTTCTGAATATTTTAATGTAAATTTTTCTATAGTATTGCTCAGTCATTATTATTTGGTGCAAATAAATCAAGTTCAAAGATTATTTGTTTTATTATAATATCCACTAAATTGTAAGTTGGAAAATTATACGTTTTTAATTTTATTTTGAAAAGTGCGGGAATAATAATTGACATAATGACAGATGTCAATTTCCGGTTCCGTTTTATTAGTTCGCTTCTTTTAGAACTGTCAAATGGTGGCGCTAGTTTAATTGATGGTAGTTTGTAAGCGTGTTGATGTATGATGGCTACTAATAATTATTTTGGTTTTACACACGGTGGAACTCAGTATAGGTGAGTTAAAATTGTTTATTTTATATCTCTAACGCATGAACTTTTACTGTAGTATAAAATTTTGCTGCTGTTATATTTGGTATATTAATAATGCGTAAAAAATTGTGATAAAACCGGTGTCCTTGAACGGCCATTACCGGCATTTCGAAAGCCAGATCAATATACTGTGCAACGTTGTCGATAATATTATTTGATAAAAGTAGATTATTTGTTTTTAATCTCAGACCAATATTTTTTTAGTTTCCAAGCCAAGATAAGGTTAACAAAAGAGTCAGTGTTTGATAAACATAAGAAGTAAACATTTTAAAGTCGTTCTACCTTCTCTGCTTTAGTACTGCATTTTTGTATTTGTACTAATTTAGAAGGATACTTTGATAACTACCAATTTAGCGAAACGAGAACTAATTCTTGTTGGAATTCATTCGTTAAATTTAATTCTTTAATGAGTAAAATATTTGCACATTATTCTCATACCTTGGTTAAATATGTGGCAACGTTGGATTGCGGGCGCCGTCCATCCGCCATTTTGGCCGCCGGCTCCGCATCGCCCTCCTATCGCACGTGTGCGATTTTCCGCGAAAATTCGCGTGAAAAACTCCAAATTTGCGACGTAAATTGTCGGTACATAATTCCTCTTAATAGTGCGTATCTTTAGGGCAAGCTGCTTTTTGGACTAGCTTGTTTTCTACCAATCGTTTCGAGGTAGGTTCAAGGGAAGGAGGTACAGAAACGATTGAGGTGGACAATTTGCTAACACAATAAATCAGCTTTTATCTAAAGTTTAATTATCATTGTATTGTGCTTGACTTTGTTGAAATAAACTTGGATCAGTGTATTTTTATTAATTTGCTTGATAATGCACTAATGGCTAAATTTAGATGTATGAATTTGAATTGAAGTTCGTGAGTTGCAGGAAATGTTAGTTTTATCAATATTTTTTCAGTGCTACTGCCACCGGGGCAGCTTACCAGGCAGGACAGCCAGGCTATGCAGTAGCAGCGTCACCAGCGACCGCAGCGGCGGCCACGTACGGAACTCAAAGGGCTCCAGGCTACGATACAGCCTACCAGGCGGCGGCTGCCACACAGGTAAACTTCTCGACGCGTTTCGACCAGGTAATTCAATTAATTTACGTTCGTTTTGTAGGGAACTTATGCTGCAGTGGGCACAGGAGCAACTCCAGCTTACGAGTACGGTTACGGGCAGACAGCGGCAGCTGGTTACACGGGGGGTTACGAGCAAGCGGCGGCTGCCAAGCCGGCCACTTACGCCACCACCTACGCGACACAGAGAGCAGCCAGCCAGCAAGCTCAGGCTGCAGTAAGTACACCTTTGGAGTATGTTTCGACGTTTAACCTGCCGCTTTACTTTACCCAGACCGCAGCTGCTAAGCCCGCGCAGTACGCCGCCACTTACCAGCCCAACGCCACAGCGTACCAGGCCACTTACGCTCAGCCGGCCACTCAGACGACCATAGCAGCCCAACCTACTACTCAGGCGAAGCGTAAGTTCAAGAAGAATTTGCCAATTCCTCGTGGTTATTTTGTACTTTTTCCCCCCTGTAGAGAATAAAGCCAACACCACGTATTCGGGGTACGACGCGGCCCTGTACTCGGCCGCCACTATGTACGTTGCGCAGCAGCAACAGGCGGCCGGAGCGCAGGCGGGACAGGCTGCCGGAGTGGCGCAAAAGGCCGGAGGCGGCTGGCAGGGATTCAAGAGGGGAGGCATAGGGGCCAACAAGGGACAGCGCGCCAAGGCGCCGCCTAAGCCGCAACAGTTGCATTATTGCGATGTCTGTAAAATCAGGTGAGTGCTCTCTTGTTACTCATTTTAACCGTCTTTGTTTTACACTGTTTGTCTTCTTGTAGTAAACAATTAAAAAATTTACTTTGATGCAAGGAGAATTTCACGTTTATTCATTGATATTAATCTGTGTTCAGACACCTTGCAAAATTATTAGGCGTCATTAACCAAAGAGATCTTTCAAAATCTTTGGGAGATCTATATTTCAAGTGATTCCTTACAAATCTATATTTTATTTAAAGAAGTCTTTGTGAAGTCCTCAAAACATTTTAATTTATTCATATAATTTATCTAAAAAATGTTATTTGTGATAGTTTTAATATTATTAGACACTATACTGGGTGGTCCATCGGCATTCGAAACAGGAAATCCCATTCATTCAATTTTGAACTGTCCCAATATTGGCTGCCTTATTAAATTTACAGCTAAATCGTAAATAAATTTTTTAAAGGTCTGAATATACTGAACAAGCATGCTAAATTGGAACAATTTTGGCCGATTTTAAGCAGGGTTGGCATGTGATTTTTTCAATTTAATAAAGACATTTTAAGTACAAAAAGTACATTTTTACTCTTTTTAATAGAACATACTATTTATTTTCGTTTTTAATAGTACATGCTACTTCTTTTAAAACATTACAAATAATTTTTTAATCAATTTCAAACATTGCAAATAATATGAACAGTAATCAAGCAACAATTTGTACACTCGTTGAATTTGACACTTATTATATTAGTTAAAATCGGCTTGTCCAAAATCGTTGAAATTTGGCATGTGCATTCGGCATACGCAGATATTTAAAAAACTATTTACGACTTTGCCATAAAGTCAATAGGGGATCCAATATTTGGACAGTTCTAAAGTTGCATGGAATTTCCTATGCTTCCGACGTTGAAGCACCACTCAGTATATGAAAAGGCGATGTTCTAAGAGAGTTTTTGTTGTAATTTAACAGCTGCGCTGGTCCCCAGACCTACCGCGAGCACTTGGAGGGCCAGAAGCACAAGAAACGCGAGGCGGCTACGAAGATGGCCGCCTCGGTGGCCACCACCAACGCCAACCGTTCCGGCAACTCGCTACGGTGCCAGCTGTGCGACGTGACGTGCACCGGCAACGACGCGTACGCCGCGCACATCAGAGGCGCCAAGCACCAGAAGGTGGTGCTGCTCCACACCAAGCTGGGCAAGCCAATCCCGCCGCAGGAGCCTGAAGTGATCGGCGGCGGCCGCAAGTCAGTGGCGTCCGCGCCCAAGATCAACTTTGTTCAGTCGGGTGGCCTGGGGGTGAGCCCTGGCGGAGGACCCGGCAGTAACGGCGAGGCGGCCATTAAAGAGGAGGACGTGGACGACGGCATTCCAGAGCCGGACATTCAGCCCGTGGGCCAGGATTACATTGAAGAGATCAAGAGTGACGATGGCAAGGTCAGTAGTGGAGCTTTTGTTATGTTTGCTTTGAATCATTCTAATTTTTTTCTTCCGTAGGTGATTAGTTTCAATTGCAAGCTGTGCGAGTGTCGTTTCAACGATCCCAACGCCAAGGAGATGCACATGAAGGGGCGCAGGCATCGGCTCCAGTACAAGAAGAAGGTGAATCCGGACCTGGTGGTGGATGTGAAACCGTCCCTGAGGCAGAAGAAACTGCAGGAGGATAAGATGCGTAGGGCTGTAAGTTTTATCGCCTTAGAAATGATTCTGAATACAGTATGTCCCCGGATCCTCTTTACAAAAGGATTTTTTTTTGTTATCAGCGTTTTGAAAAAAATGTGCTTTATCCCATTTACACTTTACCAAGCTGAGTCCTAAAAATGAAAAGGCAGTATATCTAGGGTTATTATTAATTTTGATTGTCACATTTTGGTGTTAACGTATCACTCTTTCTATAACATTGAACTGAATAAATTTTGTGTTTTTAATATTTTAATATAAAAAAATTGTGTTAATCAAAATTAGTAATCATCTATCAAAGAATGAAAACGTAAGTATTTTTGTGGTTTGTTTAATTTTTCTCTGAAACATAATATTAACATTTTTTAAAAAGTTTAAACATTTTTTTTAACATTTATAACAAGCAAAAAAGATAAAACAAAGCATTTTTCTTAAAATATTGATATTAAAAAGTTTTTCCTCTTGTAAAGACGATCCAATGGTACTGGTACGGCAGCTCGACGATCGTTCCTTTTGTTAAATGTGAAATTCGTTTTTCGAAATTTTATGGTCGTCGAAGAATATCCTTTGTGAACTCCTTCACCCCCGCACATTTGGAGGTTAAAATGTTGTGGGGTTTTGCGTGTTTGCACAATGGCCTCATACATTGACCGCTGCGCCGTTCTCATGTTTTTTGTCTCTTACGTTTTGTATTTATTTTTTTCTAGGCTATGCGCGAAGACTACTGGAATCGTCGTCACGTTTTCAACGTCGAGGAAGAAGGTAATTAAGCGTTTATTAATAAAATAAAACCATCTTTCTAATAAACTCCATCAAACAACAGAATCTATGTACTGGGACGACAGAAGACGTTACGAGGACTACATGGACATGATGGCTCGCGGCGGAGGCGGTCCCTTCTCCAGAGGCGGCAGGCCCTTCCCCGGCGGTCCCCCCTTCTTCCCGGGAGGTCCCGGCGGTCCCAGACGCGCCGAGTCCAGCGACGACCGCCACGTCATAGCCAAGCACAACGACATCTACCCGAAAGAGGAGGAGTTGCAGGCGGTGCAGCGCATCGTGTCGCACACGGAGCGCGCTCTCAAACAGGTACGAGTCGTCTTTGGTGCTTGGAAATGCGTTGTAATGCTCGCGTTAATACGCTATTTATTAGGTGTCTGATCAGTTGGCGGAGGCAAAGCCCGCGGAGGGAGAAGCGAACAAGGACAAGGCGATGGAACAGCCTCAGAAGGAGGACGGGCGTGATAACCAACTGTAAGTAATCCCATGTAAAGGGTATAGCTGGATTAATATGGGAATCTGTCTCCGCGGCTTTTTTGGCTCGTACTCAGGGGGTCGATTTGGTGTCGAATCAAAATAATTCACCTAAATTTTTAGCTCTTTAACTCAAACGGTTTTCGAGATTTTCAAAAAAAAACCTGTTTTTTCAATTATATTTTTATTTTTATAGTAAAATTCAAAATTAATTAATGGTGATTTTTTTTTCCTAATTCTTAGAAGTCTAAGACGTGAAAAAATAATATGATCATGATTCTTAAACGAAAAGCCGATTTTTAGCAGAGGAAAGAAAATTAAAATCTTCAGTTTTTTTTAGCCTTTGTGAAATATGTCACTCACTAAAAATCGTCAGAAAAAAGTAAACAAAAATATAAGTTAGTTCTCAAAGGTTAAAACAGAAGATTTTAGAAAAAAAAAGAGTTTTTAATTTTTTTCATATTGTTCCATCACTTCAAAATATTCTAAAAAAAATTCTGAGTGTGAGCGATGCAATTTTATCGTCGTGTATAAAACAATAATTTTTTCCATAGCTAGTTACGTTTTAAAAAACATTCAGAAATTATTATTTCAAGGAATTTATTACGAGTAGAAAAAATATTGTGCTGGGTTAGGGTTGCTGTCTATGTAATTTGGCAAATAAATAAAGCTGTCTCATTAGTTGTCAGTTTTGAGTCAATATTTTTTAATTCTCTTTCGTGTCGATTGCTGATTGAATTGGAGCCAGAAATGGCTCAAAACGAAATAAGTAAATTACCAACAGATATTCAGGCTGAGGCGACAAACGCCATATCCCAACTACTTCCATTTAAATCCCGAACAACTTGTGAAAAGGAATACAAAAATTTTCAAAAATGGAAGCAATTAAAAAACGTGCGACAAGAAATAAAGATTTTTAATTTGTCCTCGCTGTTAAAGTATCATTTAATCTACCCTTGCTGTTAAAGTACTATTTTATCTACTATTTTTGATAGATATAAGGCAATTTTAACAGTTGCTATGGAAAAAGAACTATTTAAAATATTTAAATTCAACTACTCTAGAACACTTTAGTTTTTAAATGTCTTAAATGTTCAGGATGGCGATGCAATAGACTCTATGATAAAATTTGTATATAGAGTTTAATTTCTTCTGTTCAGGTTCTCTTTCCAACAAGAACGGGACGCGACTCGTATGCTAAGGGGCGTGATGCGCGTGGGACACCTCGCCAAGGGACTGCTACTGAAAGGAGACAACACTGTGGAGCTGGTGGTCCTCTGCGCGGACAAGCCCACCCTGACGCTGCTGAAGAAGGTGGTGGAGTTGCTTCCCGCCGCCTTAAAACAGGCAAGAATTAGGCCGACGGTCCCGCGCATCCCAACTAATGTTCCGTTTGTGTTTCAGGTGGCGCCGGAATCCGCCTACCAAGTCCTCATCAATCCGGCCGAGGCCGGTTTGACGGTGCAGGCGGAAGGGCTGACCGTACTGGTGCAACTGACCAGTCCGGTGATGAGGGAAAGCGGGGGTAAGTGGGGGTGCTACAGAATGGCTGGACGACGTGCAGGGGGACGTGGCGTTCGAAAAACGTGTTTTTGAGAGAAACAATGTTGCCTTAAGGGAGGTCCTTCATTCTACCTTTTCTGTTGCAGGCCGCTGAGGCTTTTTGTCTTTCAGAAACACTGTTTAGTCGACGGCGGGCAGTACCGCGAGGTTTAAGCTGCACAGCGCCGGACGTATATTTGTAAACGACGCCCATGATCGCGATTCACTTCTAGGCCGAACGATGCCGCGTAAACAGCATACGATATCGCAAATCCGTCTGGTAAATAGCATCCGTGATTCCAAATTTTAACTGCCTTAACACCTCTTATATAAACACCAGACGATATCGCGAAATTTAATAATGGGTTGCTCGTAATCAGCATTCAGGATCGCAAATTTTGTTTGTCAATACAAGGTTTTTTTTGTTCAAGCGGCCACCCCTTCCAATAACAACCACGCATATTGCTGCTTAACTTTTGTGATCGTACGAAAAAATACACGTTGACGTGCGGTTGATTCATAAAAATTAAGTAAAACCTAAAATCGTGTCGAGAAATCAACAGAAAATATAATTCCAGATGACACTATTTTATTTTCATCCAACTTACATATGCAAATTACTTAAAAACAAAATAAGAGATGTAATATATTTCCATAGGACTCAATATCAATTTCTAAAACCTAACTTTTGATGACTTGACTATAAAAAATATTGAAGAAGGAACTAAGTTACAATCTTCTTGATCTTCTTGTACTAGAAAAAGTCAAATTTTATCTACAAAGAAATTAACAAAAAGTTTAGTTTTTATTTTAAGTTTTCGAAGTAAAGCTGGTCGTTCTCTCAGCATTGGGTAAAATGTCCTGGAAATTTAAAATATTCTGTAACTTTATTCATTTCAGCCAGAATTTTGCGATCTTGAATGCTGATTACGAGTAACCAATCAACAAATTTCGCGATATCGTCTGCTGTTTATAAGAGGAGTTAAGGCTGTTCCAATTTGGAATCACGGACGCTATTTCCTAGACGGATTTGGCCATATGGTATGCTGTATACGCGGCATCGTTCGGCCTAGAACAGAATCGTGATCATGGACGGTGTTGGCAAATAAACTCGCGCGCCGGACGTGGAGCTGCGTCGACGTTAGTGAAGAGACGCAGCTTAAACCTTGATTTGCTAATAAATATTGGACTTGGTTTTCTAGGTGGAAGAGCTGCGCTGGGAGTGAGGCGGGAGGCTCCGGCCTTTCGAGGCCCGCGCCTCCCCGCCGCACCGTCCAATACTTAGTGTACTGTGCCCTAATATCCCATTTTCTAGAGTCCACCAGCTATTCCTGCGGTGCGGGGAATAAGGATTTTTGACCACGAGCGGCGCCGCGGGGTGCCACCGGCGCGAGCCGGCGGCACCCCCTGGCGGCGCAAATGGTCAAACACCCTTTTGTTTGTCTATAGAAGCTGCAAGCGGCGGGTCGGACCGGGACGTTCTCTCGAGAGGAAAGTGTCTCCAGGCGCTGGCGGCGCTCAGACACACCAAATGGTTCCAGGTTTGTGTTTTTATCACTCGCGATTCCGCAGTTTAGAGACCGCGCCCGCGCGACGAACCCCGGCAGCGCCTGATCTGAAGATGTGGGTTTTGAAAGTCGCGCTCGCGTCTCAGGGAATCGGAGCGATTCTAGAACTTTTTCTCATTTTTTTACACTCACTCAATCGACCGCTGCTTCTATTCCCTTTTTTGTTTTCGCGCTTTAGCTTTTAGATTGATTTGTAACGGTGTCGGAGATGGAGTTCGCGTCCTAGGATTTTTCTTATTAATGACTTGGGCTGACATTTTACTCATAAGACTGAAAAGGAAAAAACGAAGGTGTAGATTTTACATTAATTACATTACTATAAGAAATTTGCTTGGAGCCATTAATAGAAAGAGATCCCGTACGACGCGCTCTTCACCTGTGACACTGTTTTTTAGTTTTCTTTGAGTCAGATCAATAATTCAAAATAAAAACCCGTAAATTTCGCGTTTTTCAATTATACCGAACGAGACGAAAACTTCACATCTCAATCATTGCTGTAGACGATAAAAACGAGACCAGCTGGCGAGGCTCCACAATCGCGTCATTCAGCGTCAGCATTTGATACCTTTTTTTTGTTAGTTTTGTGTCACCGAAACAGGTCAACGATTTTTCTTGTGGAGCCTCGTCCACGGCCGCACTAATAAGTCTAACACGTTGTGGAATTTTGCAGGCTAGAGCGTTAGGACTTCATTCGTGCGTCATGATCATCAGGATTCTACGTGATCTTTGCCAGCGAGTACCCACTTGGTCTCCTCTGAGTTCTTGGGTAAGAAGCCACGCGCTTGTATTTTTGTAGCACCTATTAATTACGTTTTCTTTTTTTAGGCCATGGAATTGTTGGCGGAAAAAGTGATTTCGTCCACGCCAGGACAGGTGCAATTGTCTTCGGGCGACGCTCTGAGGCGCGTCATGGAAGCCGTGGCCGGCGGCCTGTTGCTGCCCGGAGGACCGGGTCTCTCCGACCCCTGCGAGAAGGACGGGCCGGACGCCGCTGGCGCCCTCAGCGCGCAACAGAGAGAGGATCTCACTTGTTCTGCTCAGTACGCGCTGAGGCTGATCGCGTTTAGACAAATATATAAGGTGGGAATAAGTCCCTGTTTTATTACGACCGACGTTTACGTGTGTTCTTGTTTCAGGTTTTGGGCATGGACCCCTTCCGGCGCCGCAAAAGGCCTTCAGGAAAGACAGATCTGCGCGGAAGCGTCGTCGCTCCGGAGGCGAACAAGAAGGTTCGGAAAGTAAGCTTTTTGCTTGTCTTTGTTCTGTGTCCGCTTGCGCAATCTTGACCTTTGTCGTTGTTTTAGGTGACACGGGGAAGATAATTAAAACCGAGGGCGCTGCGACCGCCACCGAGGGAACCCCCGTCAAGTGATTGGGAGGCCACGCATCTAGTTCTATGAAAATATTTCGATTGTTAGTTTAATTTAAAAATACCATATAAATTTATCTTTTTAAGTTTAGTTTGTAGGACGTTTTGATTGGCTCCAAGCGAATCACTATTTTCATGACTTGATTTTCTTTTTGTTAATTCATCAACCACCAGTATTTATGACTTACGATGATAGATCGATCCATTTTAATTATAACATATAGTTACAGTAAGTACATGGGATGATGATTATAATCCCAATTTTCGGTAACATTCAGTAATTAAGCAGTGTATAATTTTTTCCTGAACAATGATAAATGTTTTGTGACATTATTTTCGTCTAATTAATAAAGTTCTTCAAAGAAATTGTTTATTATTTTCCTTTTAAGTGCCAGAATGTAGATGTCTATATTGGCATTGGACTAAGTAATACAAACGCCTTACGATGATACCATACAATCGGGAAAAAAACGGCGTCGGATATGGCTGGGAAATTAAAGTCGCTGTCATTTTATATGTAAATTTATATTGGGAAAATATATGATCGAAAAAACGGCGGCCAGTTGGCTGGGATATGACGATCGATGACATTCTCCATATAATTTTACACATGGCAGCGATCTTTATTTCATAGCCATCGCTGACGCCGTTTTTTTTTCTATCTATAACCAGTTGAATTGTCGTACTTTTACCTTGATAATTCAGGCAATTTCCAAGTATTAAAAGTTTCCCTTAATAGGCGCATTCGCCATTTCGTCAAGAAAAAAACGATAAACAGGATTTTTTCAATTTTAAATTATTGTTTCAGTACTCTGGGTACATAGCTACAATATAATTATTATTCTCTTCTGCCTAAATATCGCTGACGCCGATTTATTGATTCTGCTTGTCCACGTCTCCGTCTGTCTCTTCGTCTTCGTATGTCTCTGTCTGCCTCTGCTTGTCTTTGTCTGTCTCTGCCTGATTTATTGATTTTCATTGATTTATTGATTCATGGATTTATCGATAGGTGGAGCGATACAATCAATAAATCAATAATACAATAAATCCATAAATCAATAATTAATAATAATCGAATAATATAACAAATCAATAATACAATAAATTCGTAAATCAATAATACAATAAATCTATAAATCAATAATACAATAAATCCGTAATTCAATAAATAAATAATCAATAATACAATAAATTTATAAATCAATAACTCAATAATACAATGAAAAAATACAATGAATCCATAAATTGATTAATCGATAATTAATATTAATCGAATAATATAATAAATCAATAATACAATAAATTCGTAAATCAATAAATCAATAATACATTAAATCCATAAATCAATATATCCATAAATCAATAATACAATAAATCCATAAATCAATAAATTTATAAATTAATAATACAATAAATCCATAAACCAATCAATAATACAATAAATTCGTGAATCAATAAATCCATAAATCAAACTCATAAATTAATAATTTTTAATATTTCCTTCCAATTTTCATTGAAAGACGACATATCAGGGATTTGTATCAGGAGTACATAAAGAGCAAGAAGGTAAAAATAACTATCTCTGCAGACTTTTGTGCTCCTGTTAGAAATCGCTGATTTCTGAAAGAATTTAAAATATTTCCTTCCAATTTTTATTAAAAGAGAACATATCAGGGATTTTATCAGATCAGGAGTACATAAAGAGCAAGGAGGTAAAAACTATCTCTGCAGCCTTATGTGCTCCTAGTAGAAATCGCTGATTTCTGAAAGAATTTAAATATTTCCTTTCAATTTTTATTGAAAGACGACATACCAGGGATTTATATCAGGAGTACATAAAGAGCAAGGAGGTGTAAAATTATTTCTGCAGACTTATGTGCTCCTGGTAGAAATCGCCGATTTCTGAAAGAATTTAAAAATTTCCTTTTATAAGTTCGGATACTAATTAATAGATGCCGCAACATATTCATTAGAGAAATCCGTAAAAAAATTATTAAAGATAAACGCATTAGTCAATAGGTGTCACCTCAAACCAGCAAATTGTAGGAAACATTAATAAAAAAGTTTTGGTAATTGCCCCCTAAGTGGCGCCACAAGCGCATATAGTTTCGAAATACTCCACAAAGACGAAATGACGCTGTAACCAGTTAACCGCGCTTTGGTTGCAATTTAAATCAGCTCAAATGTGTTTAAGCTTAAAATGTGGCGTTTTTTGCTGGTAATTATGTTATATTGTTGAAATGCTAGTACGAAAGTGATATTTTGAAGAGTTTAGTGTTAAAAATACGTCAATTATACTGATTTTAAAGTGTGGTGTCTTAAAATGACGGGAAGTTAAACAAAAATAAACGTTGTGTTTTCGCTGATAACAGCCACTTCAGCTAATAATTTATTATAGAGGGTGATTCTATATAAAGTTAATTATATTATACTTTTGAGCATAATTGCCCTGCGTTCTTCATCACTGTAAAAAAAAATAAAAAATAAAAAAAAAAATAGATGTTATATATAGTTAATTATATTATACTTTTGAGAATAATTGCCCTGCGTTCTTCATCACTGTAAAAAAAAATAAATAAAATAAATAGATGTAAAGCATCGGCTTTACATCTATTTCTCTAAGTATTCTGCATGGTACTTACTTCTTGTTTTTCAACTTCCACTTGTAACAGAATATTTAATTTATTTTTATTTATTAATTTTCGCAATTAATGATCCTTATCAATAAATAATATTTTATTATAAATAATTTTTTTCTTCAGGACTGGTTTTTCAGTTAATTTAGAATGTTTTTATCTTTTATAACTTCAAAAGGAATTCGTGAAACCTATTGAACACAATAGCTTTTTTCGTTTTCCTGTTATTACCGATTCTGAACCGTACTAGAATTGTGATGCGTATGCGCAGAAGGAAATATGAAGACATTATTTCATTTGCGCATGCGCTGGAGAGTTCTAGGACGATTCAGAATCGATAATAACAGGAAAACGAACAGACCTAATATAAAAGCAATTCCTTATATTTTTAAAATTCGAATAAAACGGTATATTTTTTTTAAATAAAATTGTTTTTGCCATTCTGTGATGTCACAGTCTCAATACTATAATACAATTCCGTGTCTATTTGTAGTATATGCTTTACGTTTCTAACCGCGCATGTCAATAAATTTAAATCGATCAACCCTCAATATTTACGAAATTAATACAAACACAGCCGCAAAATGACGGATAATTGTAAAATAAATATTTCCTTAACGTTCGAAGTATTGTTATATTTAAATTCCTTTTATTTCGGATTATTCCTGGCGTGCGAAGCGGGAATGAACTTGGTAAAATTCGTGAATTTAAACGACCTGCATCATTTCTCCACTGATCTAATTGTTCTAATGTTCGTTTGTTGCATAGAAATATTCCGAATTATCGTTGCACGCAGTGCCAATGTAAGCGAAAGAAGTAAGTAGTTTTCAACAATAATACGCATCTGTAACTATGATAAAATGTTTATATTTTAGAGTGGCTGATAGTGGTAGTAATTTTACTGACGATACCGTCTGCGCTCGGAGTCGTATATTTAATGGTGTTGCAGAACGAAGTACTCCGTTTTGAATATATCATATGCTCAATACAATTGGGCCTGTGCACTATTCAAATATTTACAGGAATTCTGTGTCTCTTTCCCTGCTGTAAAGCTCCAGAATACTATTAATAAGTGTCAGCGTAAAAGTTGTATTTTAAGTGACAACAGACACTAGCCAATTTGAATATATTTAATAGTTATACAATAAAGTAAATTATAAGAACCATTATTTAGATTTTTAAGAGGTGTTTGTTCTTTACGTTTAAAGTTGGTTAATACAAATAAACTATAGGAATAAATCCAGCGCTTTGAATAAACCAGCACCGGTTTAAATGTTTAGTATATTTGGTTGCCTCTATTTTGGCGCCAATTTTATTACATAATTAAAAGCTTAAGGATAATTTAACGGATGGAAATGTATGTGGTATACTGTGTGCTAATAAAATTGAAATATTTTATTTTTGTTTATTTATAGAAACAATATACCTTCTTCACATTTATTACCTATTAAATTAATGTGATATGGAAGCATTATGGAAGCAAATGACCATCACAGATGACCATCATCATACCATCATGGCGCTATGACAGATGCTGCACTGAAGCCATATGTTATCTGTGGCCATATAGTCGATGATTCATCTTGTTTGGCTTGCGGGGGTGAATATTCAACAAGTGGAAATAAATGTTTGGGCAGTTTTTAAAGCAAATTATGGCCAGTTGAATAATTAATTCCCAAATATTAATTTTTACAGGTAATGCATGATTCTAGGTATCTGTTCTGACTATTTTTTTGCAAAACTATGGGATACTCGCCAATTGTAAACTCAGAATACCGTAAACTTTAAACAGTTTTTATATTTAGTGAGAAATCTAGTTAGAATAAATGAAATAAGTCTCAATTTTACATCCGGTTTTTATCTTAAAGCTTAAATACATACAATTTTTTCGTGTATTATGAAGTTTAATTAATTATTGTGCAATAGTTATTGGGGGACTTTTTCTGTATCATTGACATGTTTTTTTTAGTCGGGGCATATATTATTCGGTGTTTTCTTTTTCTGTTTCGTAAACTATTGAGCTGAAACTAGAATGAGCTGCTCAGATTCCTGTCTCTTTTTGTCCCAAGACACTACAACGGAGCTTCTTAAAGAAGTGTAAGTTATAACACATTGAGATACCAACCCTCGAGTGATTTCAATACTTGAATTTTCTTCTAGCTCTCAGCAGGAGATTGACTGTACCAGTAGTATTTTGTTTGATGTAAATTATAGCAGCTACACCTTGGTGAGTATCATACAAGGGTATCGTATATATGAAGTGATTGCTTGGGTATGTTTCTTACTGTTAATCATAGGTTCTTGTTCCATCACGACTACAGTGTCTCTAAGAGGAATATAAAGGTGGTATTTTAGTAAACATTTCATTATATTTGTTTTCTTTTTACTAGGAGAATGAGTCTAGGTATTATATTTTTAGCAGGTACCACTGGTCCACAAGAAATAAACAAGTTTAAAATGAATTGTATTGTTATTCATATTAAAGAGCAAAATGCATTTAAAATGGCTATGCCTGCTATTAAAAGTTATCTTAAATACTTATTTGAGAGCTATTGTTTAATTTTACCATTGTACTTTTACTATCTTCATGATTCAATAGATCAATTTTAGGACAATGACTATTAATTTATGTTTTTATGAGCCCTTCCTAGAATTGTAAATATTACATTCTATTATGAAAGAAATAATTATAGAGGCTAATTCATAAGGGTGAATCACCACTTGTGGTGGGTGAAAAAACATCAAGTTGAGCAAGTTTGAACTTGTCTATTTCATCCACGATTCTCTGATATAACGGGCGACAAAATTATCGGCGGTTCATTTTAAAATAACATTTTCTGAGCTTTATTTATTATTTTTAAATAAATACACTTCTAGTCAATTAAAAAATAAAAAGAAAAATGGTTGTAGCTAAAATAGTGAGTGCTCTTCAGATTGATTTACACAAATAGATTAATTCATTTAATAAACTTCCTTTTTTAGGAAGACACCGCTCCCTTTGAGGAGTACAAGCAGGTGCTCTTGGAGCCCGCAGGGCACTTAGAGCTCTTACCAGAACCGACTTATCCTATTTTCCAGCCTCGTCTATTGAATGATCCCCTCATCAACGATGAGTACTCGGGGCCGTACGAGTTCGAAGTGGCCATAGTTCCCGACCAGAAAAGCCCTTGGATTGTGAGTGCCTTTTCTAAAATTTTTATTTATGATTGTATTTTTTTTTCGTTACGTTTCAGTATTCGCCCCTGCTAAACAAAGTGTTCTTGGAGCTGGGCAAACAGTTCCCCGTCACCTTTAAGACCAGAACTTTTCCTCAGGAAGCCTTGTTTATCAGGGTCACCCCCAAGTACTCGGGCAGTCAGCACTCGATAGACGCGGTAGTGCGTTGCATCCAGCACGACTATCACGCCGATCCCTCTAATAAAGGTTTGTTTTTATTTTACACAGACAGAAAAAAATAATACAGTTTTTTTTAAATATAGCGTTTATATACAGGGTGGTCCGAACTGTATTCCGGATAAAAATAAGTAAAAAAGTTCGTATAAATATTTTTTTAACTGTTCTGAAGAATAATTATTTTTCGTCCATACCTGTATAAAACTACTGAATAAAAAAGTATACATTTCCGTGACTTTTTACGTAAAAGAATGTCTCTGGGTAAAAATCGCTGCAAGCAACCGTTCTCAAGATATTTAAAATGGAAATAGTCAATACGTGTCATTATTGACAAAAAATAAACACGTTGAGTAGATAGTTATTTGACTGAAATAATAAATTTGGGAAATTTTAATTTTTTTAAATCAATCATAAATTTTTCTACAAAAAAATGATGATAAAATAGTTTCTGTTGAACTTTTGGCACAAAAACATTTCAAATTTATTATTTCATTCTAATAACTATTTAGTCAACATGTTTAATTTACGTCAAAGATGACAGGTACTGATAATTTCGATTCCAAATATCTCGAGAACCATTCCACGTAGCAATTTTTACTAAGAGACATTTTTTACGTAAATGACGTCGCAAAAATGTATATTTTTTTACTCATTAGTTTTATACAGGTACGGAAGAAAAGTTATTACTTTTTAAACCAGTTAAGAATATGTAGGTGCCGCCCTTTACCAGTTAGAGCTTTGAGTCATATTGACATGAAAATCATATTTCTCATGTCAAAAAACTCCCAGGCACCGATTTTCATCCAAATAATGACGTTACTTCAGAAATTGGGAAAACATTGAAAAATAAATGAAACTATAGTGCACCCTGTATCTCCAAAACTAAGCATTTTAGGACATACACTTATACAAACTTTTTTACTTATTTTTATCCATAGAACATGCTGCCGAAGTTTACGGAATACAGTTAGGACCACCCTGTATGTGGCGTTTTTATTTTTTAACGAATTTATTTTGACAGTTACAAAAAATCCACAAACACAAAGGAACTTATTTAGCTTTGTACTTTACTTCAAAAATCACTTGAGGCGTTTTGTTTTTCTGGGACCATCATCAATTTTTTATAAACATTTTTTCTCAAGGAGGAATCACACCCTGAAATTTTTTGGATTACTTATAGGAAACGCCCGGTATAAATCGTACAATTGTTTGTTGTTTCTAGATATTCCTGCCGAGGTGAGAGCTCACGTGATACGGTGCGCCAATCGCCAGGTGAGCTACCTGGGAAACAAGGACCAGCAGGAGCGCCTCAGCCTGGTGCTGCCGCTGATTAAGCCCGAGGTGGGGGCCGATAGCGTGTTTGAATTCTTCCAGTTCGTGTGCACCAGCACTTGCCCCACGCCCGGCATCAATCGCAGGAGCCTCGAGCTGATATTCACTCTGGAAAATGTCAAGTAAGTCTTTTTTGGACACGCGGTAAAAAAGGTAAATTTCTATACAAAACGATAAAATGTTATTTTATCGTCGACCGAAAAGATTAATTCACGGGAGACGATAATGCAATAATTTTATAGTCGTGTATAAAACAATATTTTTTTCCATTTAAAAAATATTCAGAAATTATTATTTCAGGGAATTTATTACGAGTAGAAAAAATATTGTGCTGGGTTGGCCTCATTTCTGTAGGCGTATTTAAGTTTTTAAAATCAAATATTGTACTGTACACCCTGTATATTTTACGTGAATGAGATGCACAATTTAATTATCTATCAAATTGTATTATACCTTTTTTATTTGAGAAATCTCCCCATGAGAGATGGCACATGTTTTTTTGAAACACCCTGCGCAATGGCCAAAACTAGTTTCTAGATTGATTTTGTGTGTTTTAGTGGCTCGGTGGTGGGAAGGAAATCCGTAAACGTCAAAATTTGTGCATGTCCCAAACGGGACCAGATCAAGGACGAGGCCAAGTACAAAAATAACAAGAACGGGCCGCCGGTTCCCAGGGGCAAAAAACGCAAGGCCGCTTGCCAGCCGGCCAACCCTGGAAAGGTACTGCCCGCGTCGGACAACGATACCAAGGTGTACCCCATTACCGTAAGTAGCGACACTACAAAAATTCTCTAGAAAATTTCACACTAGTCATCACATTTTCTAATATTAATTTGCAAAAATCAAGTTTATCGTTTTTTTCTTGACGAAATGGCGAATGCGCCTATTCAAAGAAATTTTAATACTTAGAAATTATTGCCTGAATTATTAAGGTAAAAGTAAATTCAACTGGTTAGAGATCAGCTAGTTCAACTAGTTAGAAAAGTACCGTATGATCGAAAAAAAAACGGCGTCAGCGATGGCTACGAAATGAAGATCGCTGTCATTTTATGTATGTAAAATTATATGGGGAATGTCATTTCCAAGCCTTTTTTTTTCGGTCATACGGTACTTTTCAACAAATCAAGATGGTTCATTTCATTAAAAAAAAATGTGTTGACATTTGCCTGCTTTTGCAATATTACCTGTTCAGTTTTATTTTAAAAATAGGTGCAATTTTTCTTAAATTAAAAACTAGTTTTTAAAAATCAAAAAATATAATTTTAAAATTATTTTAAACACAATTCAGTGTGAAATTTTCTTGCCAAATACCACGCGAGATTAAATTAAATCCGCTGCTAAACATTTTTTAGAAAGTTATCCAAATCTATGTCTTCTATCTCTCGTAAATGTTCTCCGGAAATAATTTAATCTCTAGTGGTACTACTTTAGCGATATAATTTAACAGTCGACGTTTTAATTTGACGGTAGATTAATGTGGTGGGCAAACAAACTCAGCTCAAAGTGCTCTCTTACATCGAGGACGCTCTAGCGCACGACTTGCTCAATCATCAGGGCGAACCTTCGGAGGGGCTGTACCAAAAGGTGCTCGACGACACTAAAGCTGAAAAAAACAGAGCGCTCAACCCTCATCACTAATAATCGTGCCATATTTTACCTATTTTTTATTTACTATTTTTTTTATTCTTAAGTTTATTACCTATTTTTATTACTATTATTGAAGTATAAGAAATTGTTCTGCTGGGGGAAACTTATCAGTACCTGAGCTATTTGTCTTACATCCAGGAGGGAGTAATTATACAGAGGGTTTCCTTGAAATCCTAAATTTAATGGAGGTGTAAATATGGCTTAATAGATTAAGTCGGAGATGTCTAAATATCGTCTCTGTGATTGTGCCTTCAACACAGATATTCTCCTTGTGATTGGAAATTTATTATTTAGTTAGTTATACATGATTTTTAGCTATTATTTTTCTACGATTTGCAATATTTATATACTAGATTTAGGTCAATTTATGTAACGAATTATAAAAAATAAACTTTTTGCAAAAACATGCAGAGATTTCTAAACAACCCCATAAGTATTTTAATAGAAATAAAACTCCTATAATGATATCATGTTTTCAAATCTTTAATTTGTTATATGGTTCTTCAATTTCTTATTATTCAATGAGTACACATATTTTCTGGTAAATTTCGATAAAAGAAACATATTTTCTCTTACTGTTTTTCAAATAACTTTGAAATAGTCTATATATTTGCCTTTGAAAATTAAAGAAAAAAAATACGTTTTTTTTCTGTATATATGGTTGCATAGATTTAAAGACAGGGATGGGCATGTAGAAAACTGAAAACATTTCTGTCCACAGATGTTATTTCTACACATAATAAAACTAGTTTTTTACACGTAAAATTTTATTTATCTTGAGCATAATGTTGAGACATTTTTCAACTTTTACCCTTTATATTTTATGTTCTGCGTATTTTATTTATATCCTAAATGGCAATTATTGTAGGTAGAGTACACTACTAATTAAAAGAGACATAATATAAACTAAGAAAAACAATTTATTTCTATAAAACTAGATAACATATCACTTCCTAACGGATCCCTTTTCCTCCAAAGTAGTACCGTCCAAAGTGCCGTGATGTTTGAGCATGTGATCTCGCAAATAGTACCGTCGAATAAAACCCTTGCCGCAAATAGGACACTGGTGTGGCCTCTCTTCGGTATGGATCATGGTATGGTACTGCAGATGCACCTTGGTACTGAACCTTTTGTCGCAATAGGCACAAGGGAAGGGTTTTTCGCCCGTGTGCACCGACTGGTGCCTCTGCAGGTCGCACTTCTTGATGAACGCTTTCTCACATTGATCACAAGGAAACGGTCTCTCGCCAGTGTGAATCATCTTGTGCCAGTCCAGATGGCTTTGAGCCCCGAACGATTTTCCACACACGTCGCATGCATACGGTCTTTCTTTACTGTGAGTCCTCACATGGAAATTCAATCCTACAAAATAAATTCTACACTTTAAATACAGATAAAAACATACATTCTACCTGTGCGATTAGTAAAAGATTTCCCACATAGATTGCAGAGATAAGGCTTCACACCAGTATGCGTTCTTAGATGGATATTCAAATTGTTGGATGATGGGAAGCGTTTCTGGCATGTTTCGCATTGGTAGTTCTTCTCGCCAGTGTGGACTCTGGCGTGCCTGTTAAGACATCCCTGAGAATTGAACCCTTTACCACACAGGGTGCACAGATACTGGCCCTTAAACTTGTGTCTCTTTAAATGCACATTTAGAATGTACTTTGACTTGAATGTTTTATTACAAATTGTACAAACGGCAGGATTTATTTCCACACTTGGGTCATTTTCCTGCAGTGAATTCTCTTCACAGTCTGAAAATACTCTCCCTGTAAAGTCTTTACGTTTTTCAGTCTCAGGTTTCTTGTTATCGATGGTTTCAACATTGTCATCCTTCTCGTCGGATATTTTTAAAGGACCCAAATCTATATCGGCTTCGTTGTATTTTGATAGAACAAAATTGCTAAAATCATTTTTCACAAATACTGTATTTGTAATATGTGAACTATGTTGCTTGGTGAAAGATAGGGTATTTAGGCCGATTTTATGTTGAGCGAAGGAATTGATAGCGGTGTGATTTTCGTCGAATGGTCCTAAATGCTTCTTTAAAACTGATTCGGACTTTTCAATCTGGAGTTTGAACTTATAGAAGGAACGCAGTTGTTCCAAACAGGTTGAGCATATTTCGTCGGGAAACCCTTTGTGTAACTGGAAATTTAAAACATTATATAGTACCTTAAAGACTTTTTTAAAACACCTTTACTTTGACTTCGTAAATAACATTGAGCAGCTCTAAAACCGAGGTGTTATTGTTATCGACCTTAATATTTTCATCACGGATTTTGTGTCTCAAATTTTGATTATTCATGCACGTACGGCATATATTTTTAAAATCAACAAGATTTCTGTAAGCCGACAAATCCATTTTTCATAAAAAAACAACCAGAGAATAGGTACATTAAAGAAATGCTAACTTCATGTTAAAAAATGGAAACAGACGCTACCTGGTGTCGCCTGGCAGTACTAGCTAAATTGAGGGGAATTGGAGGGGCGGGGCTTAAAAGAGGGGAAATTTTTTAAAAAATACTTTTATAAGTATCACTGACTTACTGTTTGAAGTTAATAAACATATTTTTTATTACTTTAATATAATTTAATGTATTAAAAAATATGTCTATTAACTTTACACAGCAAATCAATGATATTATTAAAGAGTTATTATTTTCAGAGAAAATTCATAGTAAATAAATTACACATTAGTAAACAATATCATTTATTTTTTAGAGCTGCGATTTATATTACAATAATATTGAAATATATATATTTCAAATATTTCAAAATGATTTCAAATTCAAAGTTTTTAGTTAGTTGGCTTTTAGATAGATTTTAAAAATTTGTAGAAAGTAAAAATAGAAATTATTGCTTTATTTAGAATTTAGTTGATACCTGTGGACAATTTAAAAATATTCCAAGCACAAAAGATTACATTACCCTTTGTATGTATTAATTGATTTTGTAGAGGATAATGTAAAGGATATTTTATCATTATGCACTAGTTTTATGCTTTATATAATATGACTAATGATTTTAGGAAACCATTGGTGTGTCTTGGAAGTGTAGCGCATTCATCCAAGATGATTTATTATCAGCATCGTAGATGAATATGGATGAATGGAATTTGTCTTCAGTGCTCTATAAGTTTGTACTATGGAGGGCTTTAAAAGTCGGAGGTACAAACTATGGAGGCCTTTTAGCCTCCATAGTTTGTACCTCCAGCTTTTAAAGCTTTGTAAGGGATATTGTAATGAGGGTAGGTACAATCCTGACTACAAAAAAACTCAGCATATATCAAAATGTAATATATATCGTAATGTTCTTTTAAAGCTACATAGAAAATATTGACATAATATATACGATGCCCAAACAAAATACACATTTTACCACTCAAAATCTCATAATTGTCTCATAAAAGATTAGAATGGTCCGATCAACAAGAATGTAGATATTTTTTAAACATCATAGATTTGTTGTTTACAGCAAAAATCATAGATTTAATTTTTTTGTAGAGTTCATCAAACATCAGCATAATATTCCAGGCTATTATGAATATTTTTACTGAAAAATGAGCAGTATGTTTTGTAGTAACATTAAGCAGTATTTCGATGATATACGGGGCCCTGGGATCTCTTGTACACAGTATCTTTAAGTATATTTCGGTTTTATTTATTTATTTTTTAAACTTTTGAAAACGTTACACTTTAAAATTATTATAACAGGCGTATTTTTAACACTAAACCCTTTAGAATATCACTTTCTTACTTGTATTTTATCAGTTCAACATAACTAAACTCTTTCAACATTTTAATTCAGCTCAAAACGCCACTTCTTAAACTTGCAACACATTTTCGCTCATTTAAATTGGAAACAAAGCGCGGGTAAATGGTTACAGCGCCATTTCGTCCTCGTGGTGTCTTTCGGAACTATACGCATGAGTGGCGCCACTCAGCGAGCGATTGCCAAAACTTATTAATGTTTTCTGTAATTTGTTGAATTGTGGCGACACCTATCGACTAGTACGCTAACGTTTAGCAGTTTTATTACGGATTTCTGTAACGAATATGTTGCGGCATCTATTAATTAATAACCGAACTTTAAATATTAAATTAATTAATTTCGAGAATCCTGTAATTTTTTGTATCAAAAAATTGTTTAATAAGCGCCATCTCTATGTGAAATTTTACACTATATTTAATTTTTTAACCGTATAATTTACATTTTTAAACGTTTTTAGTTAAATTTTAACTTGGATTAAGAAAAAAACGTCGGCTTTGTTTAAGAAAGGAGCTGATTTTTGTTTAGAAGGTATGCCAATATTACTGCCCCTAAGAAACACTGGAAATATTGTATGCTGCAATTGTTCGGAAGACATGGGCCTGAAATTGGGTATTATATAATTCCCCAGCTTTATTTACATATACTATTTTAATTTTGATATTGTAGAATAAGAATAGTATGGTATATTGCACTATACACTTGAATTTGCGCTATGGACTAAAGAAAAGGGAAGATTTGAAGGTATTTGATGACGAGAAGCAAGAAGATGTTGAGCCCATAGTTGAAAGAAAATGTCCTAAATTTGATAATAATAAAATGTTTAATGCTGCAATTCAACATAAGTCACTTGATGAAGGGCAGACAGTGTCTTATACTTGAACACAAAATATAACTACGAGGAAAGTGAAATTTTTTAAGACAACTGCCTTTTTTATATACTTCTTTGCATCTTTTTGGAGTGATAAATATGAATCCCTTAAATATAACAAGTGGGTATCCAATGAAATTACTTAGTTGTAATGCAGAATTTTCTTTATTAATCTCATACATAACTACAGTCAAGTTCTATTTCATTTATTTTCTATGCCATGTTTTCTCATTTTTACACTAATTAATAATGTTATATGGATATCCGGATATCCCACCTTTATCTGACTTATTGGTGAAAAATTATCCCCTTTATAATGATTTATGACGCTAACATTTTTGAAATGTATTTATTAATATAACTCATATATTGTTTGTGTTTCAGTGATTTCTACATGGATATACAGTACTTATGAGAGCCTGCTCAAGAAATTACAGAATTAAATGTGCAGTCCTTTCTTCTCAATGAAGAATCTCTTCATATACAAGCTTGAACGAGTCAAAAGCATTGTGGAATGGACAGAAATTTGCCATTGTCATGATTAAAGTGATATCTGTGTGAGTGATGGGAACAGCTTGAAGGCCCTTTGAATACCAATTAGCTCATAGTATAGGAAATAACAGTAAATCTTAAAGTAAGTACATCGTTTTATAATATAATCAATATTCCCGTAATTTTTTGTGATATAACTAGGCAAGCAGAGAATTAAAAATAATTGTGTATTTTTATAGGAACTAAAAACTCACTAGAAAGACGATTTCTATTAAGAAATATTTCCATAACACATTTATATTTTAATATCTAGTATATAGATGCATCTTAGTTAATTTAAAAATACTTCTAATGGTTGTATATGCTTTAATATACTTGTATATGCAGATACACTTGCTAAATAGCAATACTATAAATTTTAATTGTTTTAAAAGGATTAATTTGTTAAAATAACTTATGTATTATTTATGTTTACCATAGGTCAAGCAAGCAAGCATACAGTTTCACTGCAGCAATCTGACAGTGTCCAGGATGTCCTTGATGGAATATAAAGAAAATATGAATTTACCAAGATTCAGACATACATATATATATCCAGTCCAGTAAGTCCAGCTTATATATTAGTAATAAAGTAGAATTTAATGAAACATGTTAATTTATATAATATGGCGTTTCAAAAATTTAAAATTACAAGCTGATTTACTACTATAATCTTTAGGGGTTCTAATCTTTGAAACAAAACAATTAAGAATCAAAATATCTATTTTGATAGATTGTACATTAATAAATTTGTCTGTTTTTCCTAGAAGATTGTGTTGTAATGAAGTCAGAAGCCACCAAAATGATATAAGACAGTACTACGTACAATATGTTTACTTTATTTTATTGATTTTGACAGATTAATATATAAGTTTATACACATGGTAAAATCAATTTAAAGTAACCATATTTTAAATAGATTTATTTGCAATTCCAAAAGTGGTATTTTGATTTTAATACTATTTTATTTGTAATAATCGGCTTGTATGTTATTTTAAATGCGTTTTAGAAAATGGCGAATGCGCTAGGGGAGGTTACATTAAAAATTTGTTTCTTATATCGGTTTTAAATATTATCAGGCTATCTTTTGTAACGTGAAAAATGTGTTCAAATTTGCAATAATACTAGAACAATAGTTTTTTAAATTAATTTTGTATACATTTTTATGTATATGCTTTAATATAGTATAGAAATTAAGTGTTCTAAGAAACATATTTTTCACGTTCCTACAGTAAAAAAGATAGAAAATGATTAAATTAAACATATCCATATACATAGATTTACATATTTGTTTACTTTATATTGATTTTGACAGATTAATATATAACTTTATATACGTGGTAAAAACACTTTAAAGTAATCATTATTTTAAATAGATTTATTTACTACTCAAAAAGTGGTGTTTTGATTTTAATACTATTTTATTTGTATTAATCAGTTAAGAATTTATATTTTAAATACGTTTTAGAAAATGGCGAATGCGCTAGGGGAGGTTACATTAAAAATGTGTTTCTTATATCCCTTTTTAATTTATTTTTATAGAGATGAGAAATGTTAATATATGATGTATACAATGAAAGTATTTTGCTTTCTACTGGCCAGCATTAAGTCCTTTGTAAAATGGGTTAAATATTAACTCCAGATGATGGCCTGATATACAGACAATTGAAGCTTTTTATGTATGTAACCCAGAGCCATGTAGAAGAATCAAGATAACAATGTAGAAGAATCGACTGGTGAAGGGGTATTGAAATGGGGGTAAGTACAACCCTTACTACAAAAAAACAGCATATTTCAAAATGCATAATGTTCTTTTAAAGCCACATAGAAAATATTGACATAATGTACACAACGCACAAACAAAATACCTATGCAAAATACACATTTTATCACTCACAATCTCATAGTTGTCTCATAAAAGATTAGAATGGTCCGATCAAAAAGAAATTAGATATAAGAATCCTTAAATATCATAGATTTGTTGTTTACAGCAAAAATCATAGATTTAATTTTTTTGTAGAGTTTATCAGACATTAACAAAACATTTCAGGCTATTATGAATATTTTTACTGTGTGTAGCGGCGTTGGATACGGTGTTACATCCATCTTCATGTATATTTCGGTTTTATTTAATTTATTTTTTTAAAGTTTTGGAAACACCACACATTAAAATCACTATAACAGACGTATTTTTAACACTAAACCCTTTAAAATATCACTTTCTAACTTGTATTTCATCAATCCAACATAATTAAACTCTTTCAACATTATAATCCAGCTCAAAACGCCACTTTTTAAACTTGCAACACATTTTCGCTCGTTTAAATTGGAAACAAAGCGCGGGTAAATGGTTACAGCGCCATTGCGTCCTCGCGGAATTTTTCGGGACTATGCGCACTAGTGGCGCCACTCAGCGAGCGATTGCCAAAGTTCACTTATTAATGTTTCCTCTAATTTTCTGATTTGTGGCGACATCTATCGACTAGTACGCTAATGTTTAGCAGTTTTTTTACGGATTTCTGTAACGAATATGTTGCGGCATCTATTAATTGGTAACCGAACTTTAAATATTAAATTATTTAATTTCGAGAATCCTTTAATTTTTTGTATCGAAAAAGTCTTGAATTAGCGCCATCTCTATGTGAAATTTTACACTAAAAGTTTTTTCCAACGAAATTACATTTTTAAACGTTTTTAGTTAAATTTTATCTTGAATTAATAAAAAAAGCGTATAAATAATGTGGGCTTTGTTTAAGAAAGGAGCTGGTTTTTGTTTAGAAGGTATGCCAATATTACCGCCTCTAAGAGACAATGGAAATATTGTATGGTACAGTTGTTCGAAAGACATGGGCCTGAAATTGGGTATTATATATTTCACGAGCTTTATTTATAGATACTATTTTAATTTTGATATTAATAGAATAAAAATAGTACGATATATTACACTATGCACTTGAATTTGCGCCATGTACTAAAGAAAAGGGAAGATTTGAAGGTATTTGATGACGAGAAGCAAGAAGATGTTGAGCCTATAGTCTATAGTTGAAAGAAAATGTCCTAAATGTGATATTAATAAAACGTTTTCTCTGCTACAGTTCAACATAAGTTGCCTAATGAAGGGTAGACAGTGTCTTATACTTGTACAAAATGTAAATACAAGGAACGTGAAAATTTTTAAGACGACTGCTTTTTTATATACTTCTTTGCATCTCTTTGGGGTGATAAATATGAATCCCTTAAATATAACCAGTAGGTATTCCAATTAAATTACTTAGTTGTAATGCAGACTTTTCTTTATTAATCTAATACATAACTGCAGTCAAGTTTTGTTTCATTTATTTTCTATGCCATGTTTTCTTATTTTTACACTAACTAATAATGCTATATGGATATGCCACCTTTATCTGACTTATTGGTGAAAAATTAATTATCCCCTTTATAATGTTTTATGACACTAACATTTTTAAAATGTATTTATTAATATGTATAACTCATATATTGTTTGTGTTTTAGGGATTTCTATATGGATAAACAATATTTATGAGAGCCAAAATGTGCAGTCCTTTCTTCTCAATGAAGAATCTCTACATATACAAGCACGAACGAGTCAAAAGCATTGTGGAATGGAGAAAGATTAGAAATTTGCCATTGTCATGATTAAAATGATATCTGTGTGAGTGATGGAAACAACTTGAAGGCCCTTTGAATACCAATTAGCTCGTAGTATAGGAAATAACAGTAAATCTTAAAGTAAGTACATCGTTTTATAATATGATCAATATTCCCGTAATTTTTTGTGATATAACTAGGCAAGCAGAGAATTAAAAATAATTGTGTATTTTTATAGAAACTAAAAACTCAATAGAAAGACGATTTCTATTAAGAAATATTTCCATAACACATTTATATTTTAATATCTAGTATATAGATGCATCTTAGTTAATTTAAAAATACTTTGAATGGTTATATTATATGCTTTAATATACTTGTATATGCGTATATACTTGCTAAATAGCAATACTATAAATTTTAATTGTTTTAAAAATATTAATTTGTTAAAATTACTTATGTATTATATAAACGTATTATTTACATTTACCATAGGTCCAGCAAGAGAGCATACAATTTCGCTGCAGCAATCTCACAGTGTCCAGGATGTCCTTGATGGAATATAAAGAAAATATGAATTTACCAAGATTCAGACATACATATATATATCCAGTCCAGTAAGTCCAGCTTATATGTTGGTAATAAAGTAGAATTTAATGAAACATGTTGATTTATTATGGCGTTTCAAAAATTTAAAATTACAAGCTGATTTACTACTATAATCTTTAGGGGTTCTAATCTTTGAAACAAAACAATTAAGAATCAAAATATCGATTTTGATATATTGTACAATAATAAATTTATCTGTTTTTCCTAGAAGATTGTATGGTAATGAAGTCAGAAGCCACCAAAATGATATAAGACTGTACCACATATATGTTTACTTTATATTGCTTTTAACAGATTAATATATAAGTTTATACACATGGTAAAATCAATTTAAAGTAACCATTGTTTTAAATAGATTTATTTGCAATTCCAAAAATGTTATTTTGATTTTAATACAATTTTATTTGTATTAATCAGCTCAGATATTTTAAATGCATTTTAGAAAATGGCGAATGCGCTAGGAGATGTTACATTAAAAATGTGTTTCTTATATCCGTTTTTTATATTATCAGGCTATCTTGTAACGTGAAAAATGCGTTCAAATTTGCAATACTAGCAACAATAATTTTTAAATTAATTTTGCATACATTTTTATGTATATGCTCTAATGTAGTATAGAAATTAAGTGTTCTAAGAAACATTTTTCACGTTCCTACAGTAAAAAAGACAGAAAATGATTAAATTAAACATATCCATATAGATCTACATATATGTTTACTTTATATTGATTTCGACAGATATATAAGTTTATAGACATGGTAAAATCAGTTTAAAGTAACCATTATTTTAAATAGATTTATTTCCAATTCCAAAAGTGGTATTTTGATGAAAAATGGCGAATGCGCTAGGGGATGTTACATTAAAAATGTGTTTCTTATATCCGTTTTTAATATTATCAGGCTATCTTGTAATGTGAAAAATGTGATCAAACTTGCAATAGTAAACACAATAATTTTTTTAATTAATTTTGTTTACATTTTTATAAGGAATGACGAACAATGACATTTCCCATATAAATTTACATATAAAATGACAGCGTCAATGATCTTCATTTCATATCCATTGCTGACGCCTTTTTTTTCGATTATACGGTTAAGTGGTAGAAATTAAAAATATTCTAAATTAATTAAAATGTTTATTGAACATTACTATAAAAAATAAAGGTTCTAGTGGATAAATTTGTTAATATAACACACGTATTGTACATCTTCTAAAATGTTTACAAGGAATACCAGTTTGTATTTAATTTATTTGTAAATTATTAATATGTGTAATTTGAGGAGATATACAATATTATTTTGTCTTTGTAGTACCAAATATTCGTTAGTGAGATACATAAGAATCTGGCCTGAAATATGTTGGAAATTTTAGAATATAATTGCAACATGATAATTTATATTTGTGTACTAAAATTAGAAAAATTTGTTATAGATAGATTTTCCTGTTATTTAACTATAATAAGTCAGAAGTTTAGATTTATTTTTATGCTCTATGCATAGTAGGCGTTGAAATAACATTTCAGTGTAACTTATTCTATGTCTATGTGTTTATAAATACTGTACGATCGAAAAAAAAACGGCGTCAGCGATGGCTATGCAATGAAGATCGCTGTCATTTTATATGTAAATTTATATGGGGAATGTCATCGACCGCCATTTCCCAGCCAACTGGACGCCGTTTTTTTTTTCGATCATACGGTAGTTCTTGTTAAACATTAAAATTATATTATAAAAATATATAGATAGTAAAATATACCGTACAGCCAAAAAAAAACGGCTTCGGAGTTGAAGAGAGATGAGATTGCTGTCGATCGTCATTTCTTTGCCAGCTTGACGCTGTTTTTTTGATGTACGGTACTACACGATTGAAAAAAAGCACTCTAGTTGGCCTGGAAATAATTATTGCTTTCATTATATATGTAAAATTATTTGGGGAATATCCAAGACAACTTGACACTGTTTTTTTTATCGTACGGTACCCTAGGATCAAAAAAAGAAAATATCGGAATTAGCCTAGAAATTACTATTGCTGTCATTTTATAAATAAATTATAATATAAATGTTATCGATCGTCATTTCTTAGACAACTTGACGATGTTTTTTTTTATTGAAGCCAACGTGACGCTGTTTTTTTTTCATACGGTACCATACGATAAAAAAAAAATAAAAAAGCCTCAGAAATGGCCAGGAAGTGACTGTGAAATATTATTTACCATATAATTTAGATATAAAATGACTCCAATAGTCACTTCCTAGCCAATTCTTATGCTTTTTTCCATCGATGATATTTACTAAATATCATTGATCGTCATTTCCAAGCCAACTTGACGCTGTTTTTTTATCATACGGTACCATGCGTTCGAAAATGATGACCATTTCATTTTATATGTAAAACGAAATGGTATGATCGAAAAAAAAAACGGCGTCAGCGATGGCTATGAAATGAAGATCGCTGTCATTTTATATGTAAATTTATATGGGAAATGTCATCGATCGTCATTTCGCAGCCAACTGAACGTCGTTTTTTTTTCGATCATACGGTATTTGGGGAATGTCATTGATCGTCATTTCCAAGACAACTCGACGCTGTTTTTTTATCATACGGTACTATATGATCGAGAAAAGAAAAATGCATCAGAATTGGCCAGGAAATTACTATTGCTGTTATTTTATATGTAAATTATATTGTAAGTATCATCGATCGTCATTTCTTATACAACTTGACGCTGTTTTTTTATATTCTACAGCACGTAACGTAACGTATATTTTGCTATATATGATTAATGTATAATGACCTGAAGTAGGTAAATAATATTTGCTGTTTCTGAGAACTTTAGTGATGATACATTAAAACTTAAAATGAAATATCTATTTCAAGGCCTACTGTGACACCTCGTTTTCGTTAGATCACATTGTATATACAAAATTAGTTTATATTTCCTGGTTATTAAAAATAATTGATTAAAAATAGTCTTAAAGCTACAAAAAGTAGCAAATAATAATATGATAGAGAAGAAAAACGGCGCGGCGTCCAGTTGTCTTGGAAATGAACATTGATAAAAAAATAAACAGCGATCTTTATTTCATAGCCATCGCTGACGCCGTTTTTTTTCTTGATCATATTGTATATAAACTAATCGTGTACTGTGTGTTCAAAAAAAAGGCGTTCAGTGGGCTTGGAAATTGCGATCGATGACATGCCCTATATTTTTACATACAAAATATCAGCGATCTTTATTTCCAAGCCATCTCTGACGCCGTTTTTTACCTTATGGTATAGTTAGTAAAAAAATGATGCAGCTGAACTAATATGATTTTTCTGTTCTTTTCAGTGTAGAAGTTTCCATCCCCATCTCCATGATCCAGGTCCACTACGTGCAACTTTTTTTAAACCTTGTATATTGTATTTATTTTATTTTTGTACGTTGTATATTATAAATAAATCGAATTAGTTAAATACTTGGTATTTTATTTCCCTTTGTATTTGAAAAAATAATTAGAAATGCATTTTACCTCTTCACCCTTATGTGCTCCTGATAGAAATCGGTGAATTATGATAGTTAAAATTTTCATGCAATTTTTGTTAAAAGACGAAATATCGGGGATTTGTATCAGGAGAACATAAAGAGTAAGGAGGTAAAAAAAAATAAAATAATTTCTTGACAAAATGGTGAATGCAACGCCTGCTCCTGGTATCGAAAAATACCTCCTCGCACTCATATGTTCCTGATACAAATTCAATTTTTCTTTGCTTTTGACAAAACCGACTAAAAATAATTTCGACCTGGCAAATTTTGGAGCAACTGACCAACGAGTTAGAATTGCTAGATTTTTTTGGAAAAACGGCCATAACTTCTAAACTAAAAGAGATATCGAGGAACGGAACTCGGCATTCGATTTGCCTTTCAACCCTCTATAAGGGTGCATAATTAGGGCGCGATCGGAGACCAAAAAAAATTTTGGGCAAAAATGAAGGAAGGTTAACCCCTTACCTCATTTTTCGCCAAAATTTTTTTTTGTTTCCGATCGCGCCCTCGTTTTGCCCCCTTATAGAGGGTTGAATTCCCTATTGAAACCCGCCCTCCGTTCCTCTCTAGCCCTTATAGTTTCCGAGATATTAAGGGTTGAAGTTTGGAAACGAGTTCGAAGTCCTAGAGATAGCAGAATATCGTTGAAAAATGCTTTATTTACGTGTGGTACTAAATTTGCTCCTTACCTCTTCACGCTTATGCTATCCTGATAGAAATCGGCGATTTTGGACGCGGTTTAAAAATTTTCGTGCGATCTTTGTCAAAAAGTTGAAATATCAGGGACTTGTATCAGGAGTACATAAGAGCTAGGAGGTAAATGTTGGTACCTCAGTTTACTCCTTACCTCTTCACACTTATGTGCTCCTGATAGAAACCAGTGAATTTGTACAAGGATTAAAAATTTTCGTTCAATTTTTGTCAAAAAGTACATAAGAGCGAGGAGGTAACTTTGTCTTGGATTTTACGTTAGTATCCAGGGTTATCTTCAATAAAAGTCAGTTTATATTTAATTATTGTTTTTATTTCACATATTTTACACATTTAAATGACATTAAAAATATATAAGCATAAAACAAAGTAAATAAGTACAGAATACGGTAGAACTATGAATATATATTATCAACGGTTGATGCTTGGTGTAAGACGTCCATTTGCAGAGCAGAATGTTCGACCCTTGGTGTCCTTGGTGGTACGCCCATTGGAAGTTCTAAATCTGCAAAAAAAACATAAATTAGTAAGCAATTAATTATTGAACATTAATAAGAGACAGAAAATCAAAATGCTGTCCCATTGAGAATAAACGGCGTCAAGTTGGCTTGGAAATAACGATCCATAACATTCACCATATAAATTTACATGTAAGATGACAGCGATCCTCAATTCCAAACCAATTTTGAAGCCGTTTTTTTCAATCGTATGGTATTAGCGTATGACGCTGTTTTTTTTACCATATAGAATACTTAACTTAAATATGTATGACGAAAAAAAAACAGCGTCTAGTTGGCTTGGAAAAGAAGATCTATAACATTTACCATGTAATTTTATATATATGATAGCGATCTTCATTTGCGAGGCAATTCTTCGGCCGTTCTTTTCGACCGTATGATAAAAAGCAGCGTCAAGTTGGCTTCGAAATAACGATCCATAACATTCACCAAATAAATTTACATGTAAAATGACAGCGATCCTCAATTCCAAACCAATTTTGAAGCCGTTTTTTTCGATCGTATGGTATTAGCGTATGACGAAAAAAACAGCGTCAAGTTAGCTTGAAAAAGACGATCTATAACATTTACCATGTAATTTTATATATATGATAGCGATCTTCATTTGCGAGGCAATCCTTCGGCCGTTCTTTTCGATCGTATGATAAAAAACAGCGTCAAGTTGGCTTGGAAATAACGATCCATAACATTCACCATATAAATTTACATGTAAAATGACAGAGATCCTCAATTCCAAACCAATTTTGAAGCCGTTTTTTTCGATCGTATGGTATTAGCTGGTATTAGCGTATGACAAAAAAAAAACAGCGTCAAGTTGGCTTGAAAAAGACGATCATAACATTTACCATGTAAATATATGACTACTGCGATCTTCATTTGCGAGGCAATTCTTCGGCCGTTCTTTTCGACCGTATGATAAAAAACCGCGTCAAGTTGGCTTCGAAATAACGATCCATAACATTCACCATATAAATTTACATGTAAAATTACAGCGACTCTCAATTCCAAACCAATTTTGAAGCCGTTTTTTTCAATCGTATGGTATTAGCGTATGACGAAAAAAACAGCGTCAAGTTGGCTTGGAAAAGAACATCTATAACATTTACCGTGTAATTTTATATATATGATGGCGACCTTCATTTGCGAGGCAATTCTTCAGCCGTTCTTTTCGACCGTATGATAAAAAACAGCGTCAAGTTGGCTTGGAAATGATAATCAAGACATTCACCGTATAAATAAATTACATATAAACGAGACAGAGATCTTCAATTCCAAATCAAATCTGACGCCGTTTTTTTCGATCGTATGGTGCGGTATGAAAAAAAGCAGCGTCGACGTTGCTTGGAAATGATGATCGATGACGCATTTACCATATAATTTAAACTATATATAATAACTCTATTGCCTTTGTTCGATTGTGTACTGCCGTACGATAAAAAAAAGCGTCAAGTTGGCTAAGAAATGACGATCGATATGATATTTATAATATAAACAATATTGTTTATACAGTATAATCGAAAAAAAAAACGGCTCCTAGTTGGCAAGTGGCAATCGATGACATTTCCCAAATAATTTTACAAATAAAATGACAGCGATTTTCATTTCATAGCCATCGCTGACGCCGTTTTTTTTCGATCATATTGCAATTATACATATTCAAGAACTTACGTATGAAATGACAGCAATCGTCATTTCCAGGTCAATTTAGACGCCGTTTATACGATCGTATTGTTAATACCCCCATTAGTAATTCATTATTATTTAATATTTCACTACTATTAAATGGTCAACTAATAATAAATTATTATACTAATGAAATACGTATACAGGGTGCCCCACGGTGAAATACTTCGATTGATATGGTAAAAGTACACGAAGGAAAATTATAAACACTATAGACAGGGGGGTAATTACGTCAAAAAATGATGATTTTTGAGAAAGTTTAAAAATTCTATAGCAATTTTCTTGAAAATTCTTTTCAAAATCTAATAGTGAGTACATGTATTTAGAAAATAAGTTAATTAGTACCTGATTTGGGACACTAAATCATTATTCATTTGCTGACAAGATCAAGACTCTACCGCTAGGGGATACTGTTGTAGAAAATCTGAAACAAAAAAGATATATTTAAAATAATTGTCCTTTAAAAGAAGATATTATATAAAGAAATATACGTGTATGATATGTTTGTTGTGTTCCAAACTATATTTAACGGAAACAGAATTAAATAATAAATAAATATCATATTTTATTTAGCACAGATTTAGGTTCTAGTGTTGCAATTAACTGATTAAATGAATTATTTACTTATAATAAACGTATTATTAATTATAAAACTTGGATAATAGTACTTTCGGTTAATTATATCACGAATAGAATGACATCAAACGTATTTAATACCTTTAATGGTATTAAAAAATAATTTTACAGTATTTTAAAATGTTTGCACTCATTCAAATTTTTAATAAAACGCGGTTAACTGGTTACAGCGCCATTTCATTCATGCGGAATATCTTGGAACTAAAAAAACCCTTATGGCGCCGTCGAGCGGACAAAGGCTGAACTTCGTAACTACATTACAGATAACTATTTTTAAGATAGGTGCGACATCTCGTTGAAAGTAGTCAAACTTGTAATTTCTTTTTTACTGGTTTCTGTAATAAAATACTGTGGAGACATCTAACAATTAGTAACGAAACTTAGACATAATTTAAAGAAATCTGTAATTTTACGTTTCAAAAAGTGTTGAATTAGCGCCATCTATGTTTAAAATCCAATACTTTTAAAGATTTTAACCTTAGAAATTTTGAAATTTCAGAAAATTTTTATTTAAATTTCTAAATATATTTCGAAAAAAGGTATATTAGTAATGTTATTTTAGTTTAGATAGTTTTTTTGCAGGATATTGAGTCTTTTTGTCATTAAAATAACTACTAAATATGAGAACTGCATGTTATAGGTACTGTTGGAAAGAATATAAGCTCGGAATATTTTATATCATTTAATTACTCTAATTTTATGAAACCCTGAAACCGTTCTTATTTTAGTGCAAATAGAGAAAAATGCTGCTGTACATTGAATAATATATAAATTTAACTCTATATATGAAGATCAAAAGACTGGACTTACGAAATACGAAGCACAGAGAGATCGCACAGTTTAAAAGTCTGCTTAGTGTGCCAAATTTTCTTGTTTTCATAGTAATTTATAACAATTTCTGGACATCTCACGTTCACCTGGCTGGCTGGCACCAAGTCAGCCTCTTTACACTTTTTCCACAACATTAGAAACATAAGTTCCCCACTTGCATCGGTCGCCCCAAGAATTTTATGCGGTTCTAAACCTCTATCGAACCCTTTAATTGTAGACAGTAGTTAGTGCAATAACTTAACAAATAATACAAATACCTCTGGCTCTGCTATCTTCACTGATAATCTTTATTTTATTCTTGTCTTCGGTGTCCCGTAAGCTTGTTTCAAACTGAGATTCATAGGCAGCTATAAGATCAGGACAATCAAGATTTTCCTCAGGTTCCCACGTATTATCCTCACTACAGTGATATTAATACATTAATTTAATAATTTGAATTACCTAGACCAACAGTTTACTCATTGTAACCCTTCCATTTCAACAGATACTCCACTTTTCCATTTCTGCTTCTTTTATCTAAGATTTTCTCTACTGAAAACTCTTCGGCTGGTTGATCAGTTGGTGTTGGTGCAGGAACGTTTACATCGTCCTTTCTAGCTGTAAAAATTTGCTTTGCTAGAGTAAATATAACACAGAATCTAGAAATACTTGCTTTTAACCATATTAATAAGTTATTACTTTGATATTTATTAAATGGGATATGTCTCTGTTGAAAACTAACCTTTGAAATTTCAGGATGAACAAAAATAAACAGTTTCCCCCTTAACTATAGGCAACTCAATATACACTAAAATATTTTTCTTTAAATAATTTAAAATAAATATTAATATGACCAAAATTAACAATATCTAGGTTTTCTTTTATATTTATTAAAACAAGTAATCTTTTACAGCTATACTATGACGATTTGAATATTATTTCACCAATCCATCTACCAGCTGAAGAATTTTAGGTTGAAGAAATCTTACCCAAAACAATTACTGCGAATAGAAGTGAATAAATAGAGTAATTATTACAGTAGAAGGTTCACATTGAGTAAGAAGAAATCTAGATAACTGAAATAATAAAATTAGTATATTAATATCCGAGGCAAGGAGTATAATACATATAATCAAAGTGAATCTTGATTACTCTGAACTGGAGCTGTTTAGAAACTACAGCTTGAAGCACCTCTGTTTAATGCTAAAGACAAAACTAAAGGAAAAAACTAAGCGAAGAGAACATCTGAGGTACTTACTACTTGTTTTTTCTTTTTTCACTTTAAATACATTAATATTTCAGGACTTAAAAGGAGTTAAGTACTAAAAAAAATATTCTTATACATACAAACTGTTTCTAACAATGTAAAAACATTGTGGAGAGAATAATTTTTCACTAGTAAGTGAGATAGATGTGAGATATCTATATAATCATAAATTAGTGTGAAAACAAGAAAACGCGGCACAGAAAATCAATGAAATAAAAATAGATACTGCAGTTAATATGTTAATAACAATACTAAAATTGACTTTAATAAATTTATGCATTATAACTAAGTTATTTTACTGTAATACCCACTTGATAAATTTAAATAATCTATTTTTCACTCAAAAATAATACAATGAAGTAAATTATGTACGAAAAGCAGTTGCTTTATTAAGAATTTTCGCTCTCCTTGTATTTACATTTTCTACAAGTATAAAATACTGTCTGCCTTTCATCGGCAGACCTAAGTTGAATTGTTGCATATAAGACATTTAGTTACTATCACATTTAGGGCATTTTCTCTGAACTATAGGCCCCTCACCTTCCTCCTTCTCGTCATCAAATACCTTCAAATCTTCCCTTTTCTTTTGTACATTGCGCGAATTAAAGTGTTTAGTGTAATGTACAGTGCTAGTTTCCTCTATTAACACTAAAACATGAATAGTATCAGTAAATAAAGCTCAGGAAACATGTAATAAACACTTTCAGGTTTGTACTCTTTCGAACAAGTGTAACAAACGATATTTCCAATGTCTCTTAAGGGCGGTAATATCGAACCGCGGTCTGAACTAAAACCAGCCACTTTTTAAAACGATGACGACGTTATTTCTATACTTTTTTTTGTAATTCTAAGTTAAAATTTAATGAAAAACTTTGAAAATTTTCGTATTTTCTTGGATTAAGATAAAATATAGTCGAAAATTTTATTCAGAGATGACGCTAATTCAACTCTCTTTGGACACTAAAAATTACAGAATTCTTTAAATTATGTGCAATTTCAGTTACTAATTACCAGATGTCGCCACAGTATTCTATTACAGAAACCCATAACAAGGATATTACAAATTTAACTACTTCCCGATAGGTAGCGCCACAAGCAGATTTAGTTCGAAGAAACTCAACAAGGATGAAATGGCGCTGTAACCAGTTACCCGCGAATTTTTTTTAATTCAAATATTTCCACGCGTTTAAAAGAGGCATTTGAGGTGTTTTAAAGCGTTGAAAAAGTTTAATTATATTGTATTATTGAAATATTGGGTAGAAAGTATTAGTTTCAAAGTTTTAGAGTTAAAAATATGTATAGTGTGGTGATTTAAAATGGATAAATAGGTGTAAAAGTGTTGTAGAAGCTCACAACAACTGATTTGTTCAACTACAATACTACAAAACTTCTGTATAACGTTAAATAAATAAAACCAGGCAAGATATAGTGTTGCATTTTAATAAAAAGTAAGTATTGTACTTACCATCATATGCATATATCCTTCTCCAGTACATTTTTCTGCACTATTTTTATTATTAACGAACAATTACATCACACTGGTTTGATGAACGTCAAAAGCCTGAATTCATTGTAAATATCACTCAGTCATTGTGATTGTGAGTTAACATTTAACCCATTTTACCATGCCTCCAGCAGTTTATACAAGATAAAACTAGGTTTCATACATCATATATGAATTTGAATTGTCCTAAAAAGGGAAACAATTAGTAGATCAATAGGTTCAGAATGAAGAACACGTAAAAATACTCGGTAATACCAAATACTCAAACAAATAATCTTAGAATAAAAAAGTTAAATGTAGCGGTGTTTAAATATAAGTAACTTTACATAAAATGACCTTAATACCTTCTGATGTTAAATCTTAGAAGAAACATAATCATCTTTGTATAATATAAGACAGATACACACAAGTAGCTCAGACAAACAAAATAAGTAGCGAAATGTATATCGCAGTTATAGAAAACAAAGGTATGTAATTCATAATAAATTTCATTTCTTTATAGCTTATCTGATAGCTATGGGGCTCTTATTATTCGACTCACCTATAGCTAGCGATTATCTAATAAAAAATATGCATGGAAAATGTATTACACAAACAAATTATTAGAACTAGAATTTACATAATAAAAATACGGAAAAAAGGGATATTAACGGCACTTACTTTTTCAGGACACTAAGCAGAATATCAGAGAGATTTGCCAAATAGGAATTTTATGCATTATTATCAGTTTTTATTTTAAAATTCCAAGATTTATCCAAAATAGTTTAAAAAAAACCAGGTACCATAGATAAGTTTACCGGGATAGAACCATAGATCATAGGTCCAGGAATCCAGGCCTGCCGATTGTTTTATACCATAGACGCATGTTATATGCCGTGCCGGCAACCACGGATACACCTGTCGTTAGAGATCGTGGTATGCAGATAGCATTATAATTAATTGATATTATAAACAAATACTTTAGCTGTGTTTATAAACCATTTTTCGGTGCACATTTCATTTACAGTAACAATTTCTCTTAAATATTTTTAGAATAATTATATGATCACATCATATACAGGAGTTGTCAAAGTTGCCATGTGATGTGATTTTTTTGACACTTGTTAAGCGTGGCACGTCATCTAAAACTCTGGAAAAGCAAAAAACAAGCATTTTCCGGACTTAATTAACGTTTTCTCTATTGAAAATAAGACATTCTGAGCCTATTTTGTTTTTAAATAAAGCCCGAGAATGACTAGCGAACTGTCCTTCGAAGAAATCAAGAAACACACCGACAAAACCAGCACTTGGATCGTAATCAACAACGATGTGTTCGATGTGACGCGATTTTTAAACGAGGTAAGTTTAGGTTTTAAACGCGACCTTTGCTCCAAGTACCCACTTATTAGCGTAGAAATTAAAAATAGCCTTTAGTTTTCTAAACAATCTAGGTACTGGTTATATGTTTTTGTTTAGTTTTTGTCTAGTAGAATGATGCGACTTTTTACGCGCTTATCTCTCATCTGAACAGGTATGATTTTTCAATTTTAAGCGACGAAATGACGACGCGTTAATAACAGTAATCGCGACGTAACTAATTGTGACTGGTAAACAAGTACCACACTGCATAATACCACCACTCAACAAATTTCAATTTTAAATTTATCACCTTGCATGAGTAGTAGGTTTTCGTCGTTTCCCAAGTTCAGTTCAAACATATCGGTCGTAAAATCGACATCTCGGAGTTCGAAATTCATAGTTTTATGATACTTTGAACCCCTGCCTCGTGCGGTACTGTATTATTATCCTATTCTAGAATAATCTTAAATTTTACTGTGATATATCGGTTTAAAAATGGTCCAAGAATACACAAAGGCTCAAGTGAGAGACCACAATAAGAAGGAAAGCGTTTGGGTGCTTGTTCACAACGATATCTATGATGTTACGGCTTTTCTAAACGAGGTTTGTCAATCAGATTTTACAAAAATAGATTTTTAGTCTATTTAACCTCTGCCCTTGTTTAACTTTATCTTTTTGTGTTACTTACTTAAACAAAAGTTTATTTTGAGTACTGATATTACCCATTGTTGCATTTTATAGCACGACATAAAATTATTTACTCAAGGTTATTCAGTAAGTCGCCTGCACAGTATGTAATTTCTTAAATTGTTTTTTTTTATAAACTTAATTGTACGGTATTACCCTTGACTCACTTGACTGTATTTTTTTTAGCATCCAGGAGGGGAAGAGGTCCTGTTGGAACAAGCGGGCAAGGATGCTTCCGAAGCTTTTGAAGATGTGGGCCATTCGAGCGATGCTCGAGAAATGATGCTTAAATATAAAGTAGGAACTTTGGTAGCTTCGGAAAGGAAGCCTGAACAACCCAAGAAAAGCACCGTAGACTGGAAGGAGACCAGCGAGTCTTCGGAAAGGTACGGATGAAATAAAAATCATTATTAGGGAGTCATATACAGAATTTTTTATGATTTTTTCGGTTTCCTGTAAGATAAGAGTTTAGGAAATGTTTAAAAAGAGTTTTGGAACTACTGGATTGTATTTTAGTGTTTTAAACCGTTTTGAAGCCACTGGACACTGTGCCTAGCTTTCTAGTGGCGTAGAAAATATTTTAAACAGTTTTAACGCCATGGGGTCGTCTATGTACCATTCCAGTGGCACATAAAAATTGTATAAATTTTTCAGAAAACGTTATAACACAATTTTGGAGCCACTGGAGCGTGTGTGTAGCTTTCCAGTGGCGCACCAAAAATTTAAAACGTAATAATACCTAACCCTATATTTTTTGTGTGTTTTCCAGCTCTCTGAAGTCCTGGATTATCCCAGTAGCTCTCGGACTTGCCGCTACGATAATCTACCGCCTGTATTTCATGTCATAAACCACTTAAATGTACGAATGTTAAGAGCCGCTACATTATATACTCGTCTATAACAATATAAAAGATGCATTTACGGTACTAGGGACTAAAAAAATATATATTTACGATGATTATATATACTGATTAAGCTGTTGAAAAGTTTAAATTTTATATATTTTCAGAGATTTCCATTTTTCAGCGTGTTAATATTAATTAATTAGGTAGTTTGCGTCTTTGTTGTTTAGATTTTTATTTATAACGTAAAAAATTGTGTGTTTTTTTAGGGGAATCTGTCTTGTTTCCTTCTCTAAATGAACGGTCAAATAAACTATGTCTTAAGTAGTTTGTTGCGTTTTATTTATTTTTATTCCGTTATGTAATTAGATAATTATGCTAGTTGTTATCAAAAATTACTAATTGTGAAACTAAATTTATGTAAATACTTACAGAAGAGTATTTTTATTTGAGTTATCAGAATTTATTGGTGATAAAACGTCTATTAATATTATTTTAAGATATATTATAATGTGGATAATTTAATTATTTAAAATAACAGCACTGTACTGTTTTATTTATATTAACTATTTTTTTTATTAAAAATTATAACGCTAGAATCACAGTGGCGTACAAATAAATATCTCTCCGTTAAAGGTGTCAGGGTTTAAATAATAAAAAACAAAACAAAAAATATAATTTTCTTTTTTTTAATACCTAATACTCATTTATTCACTCATTTTGAACGTTTCACGCTATTGTTTTTTCTCATTCACACACACATACACACAGTTACGATTATTTAGTACAAAAAAAAACTATTCGCAATAAAAAAATATCTAGTAATAATTACAAAAAAAAAATATTTAAATATATCTCTATCTAAGAATCGTCAACGTATAAAGTTATTAATTTTATAAAAAACAAGTCTTTGTTCAAAATAGAAAGTATATAAATGTATAAATATCGCTATATGGTGATACCGTAAAAATAACATTAATTATAAGAAGGTACAAAAAAAATCTACTTAAAAATAATAACATCGTGGTTTCTTAGGGTAAATTACTGTTATGTAGAGTTAAAATACTTTATACAGGGAAGGACAGAAGGATTTAGAGGGAAATTTATTTGCAAATAAGTTTTAACAGCGACGCCAGATTGACCTATTTTTCCTTTTTTGTTTTGACTAGCCATTTTTTAATTAAAACTTACTCGCAACTTTTAACTATCTATAATAGGTCGTTAGTGTAACAACTCATATAATAACGATATTCCATAAGAAAGGTCTGTGATTTTATTGATCAATTTCTCCAATGGAATATATTCTATAACTCGATAGCTCTCCAGTGGCGTAGAAAATGTTTAAAACAGTTTTAAGAACTATAGAGTTACGTTTTTAGCTTTCCAGTGGCATAAAAAATGTTTTAAACAGTTTAGGAGCCACTGGATATTGTGTCTAGCCTTCCAGTGGCGTAGAAAATGTTTTAAAACAGTTTGGGCGTCACTGGATTGTATGTTTAGCTTTTCAGTGCCCCAGAGAATATTTAAAACTGTTTTGCCACCATTACATAGCTGTCCACTGGCACAGAAAATGTTTAAAACAGTTTAGGAGCCACCGGACAGTTTGCTAGCTTTCCAGTGGCGTATAACACGTCTTATAAACAGTTTTGGAGCCACTGGATCGCGTAAAAAATATTTAATACCTTTTTGGATCTACTGTATAACCTTGCAGTGGCACAGAAGACGTTTAAAAAATGTCCAGAGCCACAGGCCCGTATACAAATAATATACAGTGCGTTTCGTTGAGCATTAAATGACCTCAGTGACCTGCCTCGCTGTCGCTGTCACTTTTATCTGAAACACAACAATAACAAGACATTATTTTTGTTAGAAATCGAATGTTTATATTCAACAATAATACCTTTCTTTCCTGGATAAGCGTGTCTTTTTAGCCTGTCGTACAGGTCGTCCTTGGTACCGTAGAGGCTGGCATTGCTCCTCGCCAAGCTGTTCATTTTGCCATTCACCCCATTGTGCAGACTCTCCTTCATGTAGGTTTCGTTGTAGAAATTAGGCATCTCCCATCCGTCCTCTTCGTCATCATAGTAATGTGCGTAAGTCGAATGATGACTGGGCGCGATAGATTCTGCGTACGGCGTCGGCGCACCGTAGTAGAAGTTAACCTGGGAACCGTTCTGGTCGGTGGCTGGCGTGAGCAGTTTCTTCGGTTCCTTCCTCCTGTTGGCCCTGGCGCAGATCATCCAGATCAGCAGGACGATGAATATTATGAGTATTACAGAGGCGGCTATACCGCCGGCGATGTAGGCGAACTCGGACTTGTCGCTGCAGTGTTTGCCGGTAAAGCTGCCTATACACCGGCAAGATGGAGATCCCGTCACGTCTTTGACGCATACGCCCTCGTTGTCGCAGAAGCCGTCGCACGCGTCGGTGCATACTTTGCCGGTGCCGTTAAAGCCAGGTTTGCACTCGCACCGGAAGTCGCTGGTTTCGGGAATGAGCAGGCAGTAGGCGTTTGGATCGCAATGCATTTCTTGGCCCTTCAGTTCGCATGGATTCGTGCATTCAGACTTGGATTTCTGCAAAGAATTAGTTTTGAAAAGGCAGGAAGACTTTTGAAATCATCAATCATCTTTTTTGTATACAGGGTATACGACGCGGTGGCTCCAAAGAGAAAATACGTAGCATTGTGAGTATATGTAGGTTAATTGAAAGTATTTTACGAAAATATACAGAATTCTACAGTGCGTCCTCAAAAAAAGTGGCGAATCAAAGTTGCTTTTTTGTGGCTAAGATTTATTTTATTAAATAAAAAAGATCTACTGACACTAAATTATAAAAATGAAAACATCTAGGAAAATCTTTGTTTGAGGGGTAGGCAGCCTTAATTAATATATTTTGAAGAGACATACATTTTCCATTGAATATCGGAATAATATACCGGGTGTTCCATTTAAAATAAAAGAGAAACTTGCTTTTAAAGGTGATCAATGTTCAATATTAATTTTGTCTCACCCTGTATGACTTTTTGGGTCGAGTTTTAATTTGGTTTAAAGTACAATAGTTACTTTAACGACCATATTAGGCAATACACCGGGTAAATTCCAATTTAATAAGCAGATAGCTTTTATTGATATTTAAAATTTGTTCTTCATCTTTAGGAAATGTTAAATATGTAAGTCAAAAACCCTCTTTCATGAAACTCTCCTTTATTTTTCTCTTTGAATCCGAAAATCAATTAATATATAGGGTGTTCCGTTACAAAAAATACAACTTTGATGTGTAACTTTTTTGAGGACACCCTGTAGAAGTCTACATTTCTAAAAAATGCTCCAAATTGACATACGACATATACTCACAAAAATTAGTTTCAATAAAAACTGTCGTTCTTATTGGAGCCCCCGTGTTGTATGAGAGGCGCCACCCTGTATATAGAAAAGTGCAGATTTTATAGCCATGGCTGACGCCGTTTTTTTTTCGATATTATTGTACTTAATTTTTAATTTATTACTATTGTTGAAATGTAATATTTTAGGCCTTGGAGCCAGTACTTGTATACTGATTATAGAGGTCCTGGTACTTACTGAGGCAGTGTTTTTGGTACTGGTGTTGGGTGGGCATGGAATACAAGTCGTTTGCTGTGTTTCTGGCTGGTAGAATCCTCTCTTGCACTGAATGCAACTGTTCAAAGTACCGTTCAAATAGGTTCCAGCAGCACATACAGGTAAAGTACATTCTTCAATTGTGATAGCACCGGATTTTGGTGATGTCCTTCCAGGAGGACAGCTAACACAAGCTGCTTGATACCCTTGAGCTCTGTAAAAAGAAAAAAATAAACAAAAAAAATTAAAAAGCACTGTAAAAGGAAATAAAAAAGTAAAACAAAAAAATAAGATGAATAACAACAACAAACCTGAAGGTTCCTCTAGGACATGGCTCGCAACGACCATCCAGAGCCAGTTGTTGTCCATCACCACATTCATCTCTGCATTCTTTCGAAGAGACAGCCTCATTGGTCCTTGTGGTTTTGCCCAATCCACAAATCTGGCACGAGAACGAGCCTTCTTCCGGTTGGTAGAAGCCGTGACCGCAGGATCGGCACAATCCGGCATCGTGGTCGTAGAATTTACCAGCTGGGCATCGTTCTAAAAGAAATCACGGTAAAATATCCGTCATTCGCATAGATTTGATAATTTTTGACTAAATGGCGAATGCGCCAGGAATTGATTGACAATTATTATTTATTAGTTTTGTTTTGAGATATTTGTGGCATTATTAAGTAGTGTATTGTAGTTTTTAGTGATTTAATAAATTAATTAAGTGTGTTTGAAGGGTTTTTACCTTTGCAATCCGCTGCGCTACGTGCTCCTAGACCTATAGTGACTCCTGGACGTCCCGCAATGACTGGACATTCAATGCATTGAGACTGTCCAGCCTCGCTTTGGTAGGATCCTTGTGGACAGGGTAGACAAGTTTTGGTGTCTTTGTTGTAGAAAGTTCCAATGGCACATGGGACTGAAGAAAAAACGTTTAAATATATGTATAGTTAATACTTGAGAGTCATTTTATATTACTATAGCCACTTGAGTGGCTATAGTATTAAAAATTAGTGGTCAATGAATTTTTGAATGAATGCACATAAGGCATTAAAAAGTTTTTTTTAAATAATTCCTTGAAAATGTGTAAAGAAAAAGAAAATTGCAAAAAAAATGTAAAATATTCAACAAGTTTTGTTGAGCTTGTGACACCCTGTATGTATAATATATTACAAAAAACAGAATTAAAGAACATGGAATTACTCTATCCATTATATAGTTTCCATAGTATAGTATTATATAGTCACGAAAAAATAAAGAATAAATAACCTGCAAAATAAATTCAAATGTATTCTGTTATTAACAAAAAAAAAATACTTTTAAATTTGTAAAATAGAATTTGTATCTAGGTATATCAAATGTCCATGAACTAACTAAAATGACCTGTAATTGACCCCATTTTTAATTACAATCGAATAAAAAAATTATAAAAATTCAAATATGTTTAACATTAAATACGCATTATTGTCTATATTAAAAAAACAAGTACAAAACAGATTCATTTTTTAAGACGTATATAAAGATTTAATTTCTAACAAATTTTTATTATATTATAACAATTAAAGTCAACTTAAAACATCCTTTTTGTAATCTAATTATATTGACCTAGGTATTATTTCAGATAAACATTCTATATTTTATTTGATCAAATTAAACTGGCTAAGTATATATTTTTTATTATAAATATAACTATAAAAAAACTTACCACAATCAGGAGCTTCCACAACTTGTCCCACCGGACATGCGTAGTCGGACTCCAAGGACAAAGACGATGGGTCTGGGACAGTGTTTGGTAAGATATCCCTAACGTCAAATTGTCCTTCTTCCAAAATTAGTTTTTCCAAAAGTTCCTTCACTGTAGATCTGTCGTTGGAGTTGGAGTTCACTACTGGATCGCTATAAAATGATTAAAAAAAGTCTTAGTAATTTGCTAACCCTATGATCATATTTAAATACAGAGTGTTTCATAAACATAGACACTCTTCCTAAATTTTATTTTTATTTTTTTGTAAATAACACATAATTTGTCATAAAAAAAGATATACCTACGTATCTGCAGCAAAAATTAAGCTTTAGTTTAAGACGTTCTTTTTTATTTCATATTTTTTTTGTTAATAAATTAATAAACATGATTTATTTTCTTTCCAGTGGCGTACGATTTTATTCCAAAAAAAGGTTATCAAAATTTTAAAAAAACTCTGTATAATATAATTTCATGCTTATGTTCTATATTCATATAAAATTAAATAAAACATGAAAACTGTCCTAGAAATAACTAGTCATGCATGAAAAAGAAAAATGTATAGTTCTTATCACGCAACTTTTCCCAATATGGTATAAATTAATAGAAATTTTAAATGTCATGTCTGTGTTTGATTTTTTTCTTTGATCTAAAAAGTTACCATACCTACACAATGTTAAATATTATTATGTCAAAAGGAGGAAAAGTTATGCAAGAAAAACTATATGCATACGGGAAGAGGAGTGAAAGTGCTTACTTCAATGCCGGGAATGCTATCTCTACCGTGTACATGTCACTGGAAGATTGGCGTCCTTGTCTGTCTGTTCTATAAAGAGAAAGGACATGCTATTCTACACACAATTCTACTCTACGCTCTACACTATATGACGAAAATATAACGATATCTAAACAAATATTACTCTACCTACTATTTTTTTTTCTTGAAAATTTACTTACTTGTCTACCGGTACACTGGCATCGATAACGTAAGTACCGCCATCTTCCTCTTGGTCCGGTACTTGCCTGGCCTGTCTTCCAGCCCTGTGGTCGCATTTGACGTCGATATTCAGGTCTTTACACTCTCTGGTACCCTCGACAGAGAATGAACAGAAGTTCCAATCCCTAAGAAAAAAAAAATATATAAACATTATGTTGTTGGTACCGGCAGTCCTCAAAATGTTGGCATTAGTTTTTTTTTTAATTTCAAATAGAAAATATATTTTTTTGTTGTGTTATACAATTTCTTTACCTGTTAAGACTGTTCACAGCGTTCCTGACTTTCTGTCTTAAGACCCCTTGTCCCGCCTCGTTGCACAGCACTGAGCTGGGGAAGAGCATGTTGATCTTGAACACCCTCTGTGCTGGTTTGTATGCTGTAGAAACATTAAAAAATCACTAAAAAATGGTCAATTTTTTTATTTTTTTTACTTACGAGAACAAGCAGGATAAACCAAAGCCAAATTCGGGTTGATATTAGGCCTCCAAAATCCTTCAGCTCCACAGGTATAGAACCTGGGAATATCCTGGGAAAACTTAAGGCCAGAATTACACCCAATCTCGCACACCTTAAATTGTCCTCCTGCACCCCAATCCTTACATGTCTGATACCCTCCAATCGGATCGGGTAATTCTGGACAGAACTCTGACAACACCGAGACCTTAAAGGTACAACTCGCGGTGTTGCCGGCTTGGTCGCTGGCCACGTAGGCTATCTGGTAGATGCCCCAGAGCAGCGTTTGGCCTGGTCGGTGTCCATTGCGCTCTTGCACGCTGGCAACGCCGACGTTGTCACTAAAGTGTGGCTCGTCCCAAGCTACTAGTGCCGATCCGTTTTTGGTTATGATCCAGAGGTCTCCCGGGCAGTATTCCACCTTAGGAGGGATCTTGTCTACTTCCAGGTTCTGGCATTTCGGTCCGAGTACCCTGCTGGGCAGTTCCTTTGGCCGCAATGCGAGGGAACCACTCTTTCCACTCCTGAAAATGACATAGAACAAATTATTACGAGTATTTAAAAAGATATATAGCCAAAAAATACCTCCGACTGTTTCTTCATAACCTGCCCACGTTAAAACGAGTCCTTGTATAGAACTGGTTCGGTCCTGCAGTCTCGGACTTGTTTCTGGACTTCGTTGGTGACGTCCAGAGCTCTGTTCCAGATCTGAACTTTAGTGAGGTGGCCTTGGAATCCGGATTCGGTATAGGCTTTGGGACTGGTCGATTGGGGTTTGCCCAAGGTGACCCATGCGCTGGAAAATCATCAAACATTAGTGGATGTTCGTTAAATGAAAGACTTGAGAGTGAAGAATTTTTTTTAGTATACGAAGCTGATGCACCAGGTCTTGTAAAATTGTTTCTATGACTTTTATTCTAATTAGTTTATCTGGTGATAATTATCAAGAAACACATGTCTCGTTTTTTGCTAAAAGTGGATTTTATTGAGTTTTATCTCTAATTTTCTTTATAGTATACGGAGCTGATGCACCAGGTCTTGTAAAATTGTTTCTATTACTTTTCTTCGGGGAATTTTTATTGTAATTTGTTTATCTGATGATAATTATCAAGAAACACAGTCGTTTTTTGCTAAAAGTGGTTTTTATTAAGTTTTATGTCTAATTTTCTTTATAGCATACTGAACAAATAAAAAAAATAATAGAAAACAAAAACTATCAAGAATAAATACTTACTGCTCTGGTAGTTTTCTTCCACTGCCATACCCGTCAATTTTACTGGCTATCAGTCCTTCAGTGATCAATTTCAGTTCACCTCCATTTTCTCCATCCCACACGATCGCAATGTGATGCCACTGAGCGTCATTTATGACAGTATAGTCCCTGTAACTCAGGTAAACGTCCTGCAAGTCCTCGAAAATGGACACTTGGACACCGTTCGAGTGAGCCTGGATGATCGGTCTTCTGTTAGTTGGCACGTGCTTGGACCTACCAAAAAAATATTTTTTAAAAAAATATTATATTTTTTGTATTTTTCTTAAACTCACGTGACGCTGTACAAGGTGAAGAAAATACCGTTCTCGTCTTTCTGAGTGAACTGAATCCACATGGCGATGGTGAGGCTTGAAGCTGAGGTAGTGTAGAATGGAACCACTTGCGAAGCTGAGCTCCTGCTAGCGTCGCTGAAGTACAAGTCATAATCCACCGAGATAGCTGTAAAAATCGAGTATTAAGAAAAAAATAAAATAAAAAAAATTAAATTTACTTTTTCTGCAGTCCTCTCCAGTTAAATTGAAAGGACATTGACAGTAGAATTTGCCAGTTAGGTCTATACAGGTTGCACTGGGTGGACACGAGTTTTCTTTACAGTCTACTATATCTTTCTCGCAGTATTTTCCAGTGTATCCTGGCGGACATTGACAGGTAAAACCGAAGATGTTATTGACACAGGTAGCTCCGTTTTTGCACGCCTTGGCTTGGCAAGCGTCGTATTCATATTGACACCCGATACCTTTCAGAAAAATCAAATTAAAAACATCTTTAAATATATTTTTTTTTGGAATTTTACCAGTGAATCCTTCAGAGCAAGAACAGTTAAGGCCAGAACCGAAATCCTTGCATTTTCCTCCGTGCATACACGGGTTGCCTATGCACCTTTCCGGAGCTGTCTCGCATTGCTTACCATCGGTACCTGTCAATAAAAAAATCATAATAATCTAAAATAAGAAATTTTAAATATCACAAATTACCTGAAGGACAAACACAGAAATAGTCTTGGAACAAATTAATACACTTTGCGTCATTTTGACATGGTTTTCCTTGACAGTTTCCTATGTCAGATTCACAGTTAGTTCCGGTCCATCCTGGTTGACACACGCATTTATAACCACCAACTTCATCCCTACATGATCCTGAAAATGAAGAAAATTATAAAAATAAATTATAAAACACTTCAAATAAAAACTTACCTCCATTGAGACATGGATCGCTCTTACAATCATCCATATTTTCTTCACACATCTTTCCACTGTATCCCTCCTTGCACATACAGAAGTATTTGTTATCCAGATCCACGCATTTTTCTGTACCGACAGAGTTACAAGGATCACTCAGGCATTCATCTATTTCAGCTTCACATTGAAGACCAACATAACCTGGCCTGCATTTGCAGCTGAAACCGTCTACTAAATCGGTGCATGTAGCTCCATTTTGACAAGGTTTGGACGAACAAAAGTCTATAGTGTGTTGACAGCGTTTACCTTGAAATAATAAAAAAAACAATTAGAAAATTTTGATATAAAAATTAGGGATTTTTTACCGGTATATCCTGGCTCACAGGTACACAAATAATCGTCAACCAGATCCACACAATGTCCTCCATTATCACAAGGATTCGGGTTACAATCGTTGATGTTTATCTCGCAATTCTCCCCACTCCATCCAGGTTGACACACGCATTCGTGATAGAACAGCTTGTCAACGCAAATCCCGTTTTTACAGGGTGTTCGTCCGCAAAGGTCCACCTTTTCCTGGCATCGTTTGCCGGTGAATCCCGGAGGACACGCGCAGCTGAAATCATCGACTAAGTCTGTGCAGTTTGCGCCTAAAAGACACGGTTTTTCTGCGCAGTCGTCTACGTTGATTTCACAGGTTTGGCCTTCCCAACCTGGCAGACATTCGCACATGAATCTGCCTTGTTCCAGGGCCAGACAGGTGGCGCCGTTGCTGCATGGATTGCCGTTGGCTGAACATGGATCAATCTACCGGCAAAAAATATAGTTATAACCAAAGAGAACTCGTCTTGAATTATAATGTACTATTACTCTAATAGAGAAATAATAATTGTTATATTACACATACGTAGACCGAAAAGACAGAAATGCACACGAAACTCAACAGCGTTGCCATATTGATGTAACCGTCTCTTTTTAATTCACATAAAAGTATTAAAATATACGAGTATATGATTGTAAAGAAACAGAGTTTTATGAATGGAGTGTTTTGTCTCCCCTTTGGAAAAAATACTTACAGTTATGTCACAGTCAATTCCAGTGTATCCAGACCGACACAAGCAGGTGAAGTTCTTGTATCCAGGCTCGTCCTTGCACATAGCCCTGGCAGGACATGTGTCATTTGAACAGTCAGATCTTTCTTCTTGACAGTTAATTCCGGAATATCCTGGAGCACATTGACACCTAGAAATAAATAAATTATTACCAAGACGATACAAGCTTATATTCATTCAGTAAAAAAAAAAATTCACCACAAGATATATTAAAATTCTTACCTGTATCCTTGAGGTTGGTCAATACAGGTAGCTCCATTGTAGCAAGGTTGGGAAGCACATTCATCTATATCTATCTCGCAACGCCTTCCAGAAAATCCAGCTGGACAGAAGCACTGGATACCGTGTCCCATTGGGATACAGATACCTCCATGCTGGCAGGCGTTCTCAGTGCACTCCAGCTAAAAAAAAAATCGAATTAAAAATATTCTGGATATTTTGAATGATTTAGACGTACCGGTCTACATTCATCGCGTCCACTTGCTCCTGGAACTTCAGTTTTCATGTTTGTCGGACATTCATTACAAGACGTTTGTCCAGGAATAGACTGATAGAAGTCTTTTGGACATAAAGAACACGGAGCTAGTCCTGTTGGAGAATAATGTCCAGGATTACACTTGGGTTTGCACAATTCCATGCTTGGAGCCGCTGGCTGGAACGTATAAGTATTAGCAGGACAAGCCTGGCAATCTTTGAATCCTTCCGTAGGTGGTTCCCCAGTAAAACTATTCCTTGGACATTCCAAGCAAGGTACCATTCCAGTTGGTGAGTACGTTCCGTATCCACAAACAGGAACGCAGTCAAATATGCTCTTTGAACCTTGCTCTTTAGTGTAGGTTCCTTGAGGACATCGTGAACAAGCCCCTTGCCTGTCCCTGTCTTGGAAGAAACCCCTGGGACAGTACGAGCATTCTTTCTGTTTTAATCCGGCGAAAGTACCCGCGGGACAATGTACTATAAGAGAGATATGGGTTATTTAGTAAATTTGAGTAATATAAAGCGACTTACAGCATCTGGGTACGTCGTTGGTATCCATGTTGAGTACTTCACCGACGTTACAGGTAAAGCCTCTTAGGTTGTCTGATTTGAGGGCTTTGAGCGGAGGACACTGGTTGCCTATGGAGGTGACGTTTAAGAGAGGTTCTATAACGGCGTTAGCTGACGGTACTGATAGATCGAACATTAGGTTTAGGGTGCTACCGCATAATTCGTAGAGTTGGATTTGTCTGACCAATGGTACAATGTCGACAATATAATCAACCTAAAAAATAATAGTAAATAATCAATAAAGAGTTTGTAAAAAGTTGTTGACAAAAAGTTAAGATACAATGCTATGGGAAACACCAACAGAGATCCTTCTGACTTACCTTTACAACATTTTCGTCTACCAAACTGGCAACAGCGTTAATAATTGACACGTTCATCTTGACGTTAACAGCAGAACATCTCTCAGACAGGATATTGTTCAAATTATTGTAAAACTGAGCCAACAGATCGGTGTACTGGTTCAAACAGGCCGAAGCCACAGCACCATTAGCCCTGTAATTGACGCTTGCAGTGAAGTGGTAGTCAGCTTGCTGAGTATCTGGAATAAATCATTCATATATGCAAATTTTGAAGTAAATAAAATCATACTTTCTGAAACACAGTCTGGCACAACTCCTGTAGGCTTCCACGGTACGTTTTTGTCACAAGTAAACGTCTTTACAGGTTCACCATCAGTGAACCTAAAACCTGGATTGCATGTAGCTATACACTGTAATCCCCTATCCCATGGAAGACAATTAATAGCTCCGTTGACTGGAGGTTTGAGCTCCCAATCAACACAAGGCGTAGCTTGGACTGAAACCTAAACAAATCATCATGAAGACAGATAAAAAAACGATAAAAACTCAGTCTTACCTGGTAATGACAGCTAGCCTTATTGCCATACTTGTCCGAAGCAATGACAGTAACATTTTCAAAACCTCCAATAGCAATGGTTGCTTTTTCTGGAACAAAAGTTAAATGGACTTCTCCAGAAGCATCTGTAGCGTTAACTCTGACTCTAGTTTCGTTGAAGTTAACTGAATAACTGTCTTCCCTGTCTACCAACTCGATGACGTAGCTTGGAGGACAGCTAAGTTGTGGAGGAGTGTTATCAGGAACGGTGATGTTGATTTCGCAAATGGCAACGTTGCCATCGTAGTCAAAGGCTACGTATTTGACGACCATGTCTTCAAACACGTAGACAGGTGTCTTGAAGTTTGGAGGCTTGATTTCCAGACGAGCTATGCTTCCAGAGTTATCCACAGCTGTTGGTTCGGTAAAGTTGACAGGTAGAAGACCTCCATTGGCGTCTTTTTGGACTACTATCGGTTGCTGGGGACAGTTTTGGAAAACGGGAGTCTCATTGTCTGGAATAAAGATTTTAATTACCCAAAAAATTTAATATAAAGTTTCCTGGATCTTACCAACGCAAGGGGAGTATCCATAATCGTAACCTAACAAAGGTTCGTTCTCTGGCTCGTCGCAACCCATTAGTTCAAACTTCAAACAGGCATTCTCCATGTAACTTACAATTCCCAAAATTACAAACCTTGCTTGGACGTATTTGGGTAAAGAAATCATGGCAAGTTCTCCATAATTTCCTGGATCTCTCATCGTGAGGTTAAAGTTAGGGAAATATACCACATAATTTTCTTTATCAGCCTGGAAACAATATTTTCTTGTAAACTAGTTATGGTTTTTGAAATATTTTGATTTTACCTGTTTATAGAAGAACCTAATTTCAGTTGGACGACCTACAATATCGTTTGTGACAACTCCTTTCACCAGGATAGCTTTAACTCTAAAAACTTTCCCCAAATCCACACTAACATAGGTAAAAGCTTCCTGTTTTCCACACCAGCCAGTAACCGAATTCAACCTAACATTCTTAGCTTCATAATTAGGTCTTTCACTCGTGGCATTAATGGCTGAGTCCGGAATACGTCCAGAAGCCAATCCAAGAGGTCTAACAACCTTACATTCAGGCTCTCTAACGCAGGTGATCGGTCGAGGGTTAATCAGGATATATCCAGCCCTGTTACATCCAAAACTGACTTCAGAACCTTGCTCGTAACTTCTGGATATCTGAAAACCGTCGCTCGGTCTTCCTGGATCCTGGCAAACGGGTCCTTCGCATCTTAAATCGCCAAAGTCCCAAACTCCGTTAGCTTGACACCTGGAAAGAAAATTTATTTTTCTGGAACCGTTAGTGTTGGACTTTAAACATACCTGACAATGTTATCGTGCTTGCTGCTTTGTCCAGCTAACTTGAAAGTGTTCTGACAACCGAAGAAGAACGAAGATTGGTATCTGGTGTCGATGTATTGTCCGTATTCTGCTCCAGGAGTGGGAGGAGGAATCCCACAGTCGATTCTTGGACAAGAGGGTAAAGCACCACTTAACCAATAATCTGGATAGCCTGGTTTAGGATCAAAAACACACTGCCTGAAAGCTGAGCTTGATGTTTTCCTTAAATGTCTTCCAGTAGAACCGCAATGAAGTGTGACATTTTCTCTAAAAGGTACTAATACTGTTTCCTCGTTACTCCTGAGTACTTTGAGACCTTCATTCTTGTCGTCAGGTAAAGATACACATTGAGCATCTAAAACGAAAAAATAATTAGTGAAAAAATCTGAAATTAACAGTTTTTTTTTACTTACATTTGCATTCAGGTACTGTACCATTCCAGACACCTGTAGAGGTACATAAAAGTGAACTACTTCCAGTCATGACGTATCCAAAGTCACACTGGAAGCGTACTAAGTCTCCAAAGTGGTACTTCTCCTTGGTAGAAAGTATAAGTCCGTTCTCAGGTGAATTTACTGAAGGACACATCACAGCAACGCAAGATTTGTTCACTTGGTACACATCTCCGTCACGTAGACCGTTTTCTGAGGGTTCTATATAATATGAGGCGGTACCGTTTTGTTGGTACAGCTCGAATCCTACGTTACATCCGCAAGAGTAGTCTCCAGCAGTGTTGAGGCATTTTTGCTGACATCCTCCGTTGTTTTCAGAACATTCGTTGACATCAGAGCATTCCAATCTGGTACAACCCATTACTTCTAGTTTTAAGCATGGAGCTCCGACATAATCCTGAGAAAAAATCATTAAAAAAATAATCCAAAAATCCTAAAATAACATTACTTGAATTTTAAATTTGATATATTGTGCTTCGATGGGAACAGGTAAATTCAGGATGCTCAATGTTGGTTTTTCTATGGTAAATTCTACAGCCAGTCCGTCTGGATTCCTGTAGTCTTTGAATACGTCAGTTAAATCGTCTGTATACTGTAGCCTGACAGCCGAAGTAAAGGCTATATCTCCATTCAGTCTTGTTACAGCCATGGTTCTGAAGCCTCTGATAATTGTGGGAGCTCTCAAATCTAACAGTACCCAATTTGAACCTCCTTCAATTGTATTTCCACACCAACCTATACCATTGTTCAAACGAATCATCTACAAAAAAATAGATATGGTTAAACACGATTTAGATTAATATAAATTAGCTTGACGTACCGATTTTTCATATCCAGGCTCTGTACTGGATACTGTGATAGATTCATCTGGAATACCTCCGTTTATTAATCCTAAATCTGCTACAGGTCTGCATTCATTAGTTGGCGTGAATCCTGGAAAAAATATAACTTGGAAATCCAGTTAAAAACTCGTAAAACTCATCATACCTTTCTTGCACTTGCACTGGAACGATCCAGGAGCATTAACACATTCAGTAGAAGCCACATCACACTGGGTACTGATACATTCATTGATATCTTCACATCTAGGTGGATTATTGAATTCCTGGTTTTCTCCACACCTTAAAATACTGTTTCCAATCAGTTTAAATCCCTTAAAACACTGAACTCTGGCTTCGTCATTAAAGTAGTACTGCCTGGAAGTGTCAGTAATGATTCCATTTTCAATTTTGGGCAAAGTAGGGCATCTAGCTCTGGAACAAACTGGAACGTCACCGCTCCAAGTTCCGTTGCTCATGCAGAGGATTACTGGATGACCGCTCCGGATATATCCAGGTTCACACTCGTACCGGATTATGGTACCGTAAGACTTTCCTAGACCGTTCAAAATGGTGATGTTTGCATGTGGTACGTCAGGCAATGTTGCGCATTGGGAAGCTGTAAAAAAGATGGTATAATTATGCGTTTAAGTAATAGATTTAGGGGACTAACCAAGACAAGTTGGTTTCTTTTCCCATCTACCGTCAGCCAGACAAGAAATTCTTTCAATAGGCTTTCCAGAAGGGAAAGCAAAGCCAGCGTAACATTGATACATCGCCTGACCTCGGTATGTGACATTAGAAGATCCAATAGAGAATCCATTGTCGATTTGTGGCACTGGGCCACAGTATACCTCCTAAAAACCACCAAAATTTGAGTACTACACCAAAAAATGCACAATCCAATCATACTTGACATCTTGGAATGTAGCTAACAGACCAGTTGCCACTTGGTTGGCACTGTGTAGTGATTCTATTTTTCCCTGTAGCGAATTCCTGTCCAGTGGGACAACTGAAGATTATTTTAGTACCGAAAGCGGTGTCTCTGCTTGAAGCTAGAGCACCAACTCCTGGCTGAAGTTGGGGACAATCTAAAATAATTTATCGTAAATATTTTACAAGAAAAAAATGACGATTTTGGTTTAAATACCAGCAGAAAAGGTGGCTCTCCAACCAGGTCTGTTATGAAGGGCATCTGTAGTGAATCTGACCAGCATTTCTCCACTTGAAGCTGTCAAGGTTATTTTTGGTTTGCTGTTTGATGTGAAACCTGAACCTGGATGTAATCTCAAACCACTTGGTGTACTTCCATCAAATACTTGTACAAAATCAGATTGGTCTACGTCAAATTCGTTGAAATTTAAAGATAAAGGTCCTCCAATAGGGTTCCTTATTTTATATAGACACTCTTGGTTGCTTGGATAGTTATCCAGACCAAATGCGGGCGATGTAATCGTTCCATTCCTGGCTACAATGGTAGCTTTACATCCTTGAGTGTATCTAATCCTGAAACCTCTCCTTGAATCACCAAGACTAGTTTTGAAGTAAACATATAATTGACTGCTAGTGGACATAACAATCCTCTGGTTGTCTTCTAACTCTCCTGTAAGCCTAGCTATCGGATTACTCCTTGGAGAATCTCCGTCTCTAACTAAAATATAGTCTCTAGTCTCATCCAAGTCCAAATCATCAATTTCCAAAGTTATTATTTTGCCATTTTGAGCTCGAATGATATATAAACATTCCAAGCCTCCTGGATATTGGTTAGGGTATCCAGGACTCTTCAGGATTTGTCCTTGAGGCGTTCCTCTTAAAGTTCCTCCACAAATCTGAGGTTCAGTCTTCCAGGAGGCTCTGAAACCTTTTTTCTCCACCGAGGCATCAGTGCTGAACTTGACAATCATGAAATTTGATGCGGAGACAAAAGACCTGTTGCCTAAATCTTGTTTTCCTGATAATGTAGCTAAATTTACAGATGTATCTTCGGTTCTTCCTACAAAAAAAATCATTTTTGAGATTATTTTTTAGTGAAGATGACAGAAAACTGACCTCCCACAAGAATTTGAACGGTATCAAAAGATTTTTCGGTTTCAAACTCTTGGAATTGGAGCAGGATGTTGTGACCCTGAGGCCCTTCCAAAGTCCACTTGCAATTGGTTAAAGGAGCGTATTTGTGAGGGTAATAAGGGGATTCTACGACATCTCCACTGCTAGCCAGGTAGAAATTACAGTTTTGAGCGCAGTCTAATTCGTCTGAGTTGTCACCACAATCATCTACAAAGAAAAAACTTGCATTTCCTGTTTTTAATTATTTTTGGGGAGATAACAGTACCTTGTTTATCACATTTGAACTTTTCGTTGATACAATTACCGTTCGAGCAATGAAATGAGCCTGTAGGGCATGCCCTAGATCTACACATAAAGGGTAAAAGACTCTCGCAAGTTGTCAGTTCCCAAGACTGATTCTCTTCAGTAATGGTGACATCAACGCATTCTCCTGATGATGGATCTGGCTGATTTAACGACCAGAACCCTGTAATATGACAGAAAATAGTATAAACGCGTTTAAAGATTGTTTTTTTCTGGTACCAGAATATTGAGAGACTAAAGTTCCAGCTGCTGACTCCAGAGTATTGGTTTTAAGGTCATCCAGCGATGCCAGACCTAACCAATAATGATCCAAGCCTCTCCGTTCCAGAGGAACGGAAGAATTTGCTATACTAGCTGTTAAATTATTTTCGGCAAAAGTTTCTACCGCCATCAGGTCACTACCATATCTAGAAGAAATATTAAATCATACAAAATTAAAGGTCAAAAAATTACGGAGCTCTTCACAATTTCCTAGCATTATTATTCTTGACTCAAAAGATGAAAGTTACAGTATCATGCAGCTGTGTGTCTGTTAATGTTAATATTAACAAAGGTATAGGAGTGTCAAGGTATTCGTCTATGTAAAGTTGTCTCTGTCTTGCATTAAAATTAAAACGTTATGAAACGAGGATGGTCGTAGCAGTGTATATAGGAATAAGAGATTTCAAAGAAGAAGTAGAAGATGATATTAGCTCGAAGGCTTGTTTTAGTACAATCGTACAAAGTTAGTGGTTATAGGTGGTTTTATTTGAAAGTTGAGAAACGATAACATAAGACATTTTCAATTAAAATTAAGAATCTAACATATACGAAAACTGCAGTTCTTGCATAATTATCTCATGCTAATTAAAAATTATTAATCCTTTTGTTACAAAATTGCTTACTTAAGCTTAGTGGGCGCATATTAACGGGTATAATTCTTATTATAGACCATCATGGGCGACAAGGCAAGCATTGTGTTGCCTACCTCTTGCATTAGCAGAAACTATAGTTATATTAATTAGTATCCAATGGGTGTATAAGGAATCTTGCCCAATACTTCTTCTTAATTAGGGAATTGTGCAGGCTTTTTTTTCTTCTTAAGTTGAGTGAATAATTAATGGAATATTTATACAGGGTGTTAAAAAAAAACATGTACCATTTTTCGTGGGGAGATTCCTCACGTAAAAATAAGATTTATTTTTCATATCAATATAGATTATAGATCCGATTCTGCTTTGTTTTGTAGTTACAGGGTGTTAAGTCTTAATATTTTTTTGATTTATTATAATTTTCTTCCAAGTACTTTTAGCGATTCGAATGAAATTTTGAGGGTAAAAGTTACTATAAATGCGACATATTTTAATGGTAAAATGGTCTTGACATGTTCACCAGGGACGTGCGTATGGGTTATCACTGGAATATTCAAAAAAATATTAACACTTTAACACCCTGTAGCTACGAAACAAAGCAAAATCGGACCTATGTTGATATGAAAAATAAATCATATTTTTACGTGATGTTTTCTGAAACACCCTGTATAGGTGAAGCTAATAAAAGGGTGTTAAAAATAAAGATTTTTTTAAAGCAAATTTCGGATTTTCTATAAGTCTAACAGATGTTTAGCTTTTGAGGAAATGAAATAGAATTAAACAACTTAAAGAAATCGTATCTGTAGGTAAGTTATACAGAGTTGGTCATAAGGAAACTGAAAAAGTAGGTCTTCGTCAGCGACAGTCGATGATGGTACAGGTGTGTGATGCTCGAAGAAGAGTTTTAGCACGTCCTTGCCAATTGAAAAGTAAAAAAATGTATCTAAACTTATTATATAACTTGTAGAACGCTGTTAAAAGGTCAAAAAGATGTCCTGACAAAGAATTGGAGTGTTTTTAGTCAAACAAATAGTTACCTTTTACATAATTCTGCAGCTTTTTCCCACGAATGCCTAATATTGAAAAACTTGTAGCAGGACAGTCCCCGCAGTTCCCAGCCTGCAACAAAAAAGGAAAATCATTGTTATTGTCAATAGAACATAAACATAACCCGCATAAAAATCTATTTGAACTTTCTCCGGTATAGGAAATAGGAAAAATCAGGTAAGTAAGGTAAGTGTGTAGCGGGAAATTAAATTTTAACAGCATTTTACAGAGGAAAGTATTTTGGGAAAAGATAGGAAAAACAATTTGCATTTTAAGTGACTTTAATACTTATTTATGCGTCAAGGGGATTATCAGGGTGTTTAAGGGGCAAAATTTCTGTCCCGAGGGCCTATAATAATTGCCCGAGGTTATTAACACTTTGACATTCCCGTGGAACATAGATAATTTTATTTCTTACTGACTTTATACACACAACCAAACTTATATGGACTTATATCACTCTTTATTTCTGACTAAATTTCTTGCAAGGATAAAAATTGGTAGACAACTTTAAGATAAGGCTTTTTGTTGTAAATAAACATGATAATAAAGAATAAACGACTGCTGCAATTTATTTTCTTTTGAATTTTGTGTTCAGTAGTAAAATCACGATTGTCCGGTAATTTTCATTCAATCCAAAAAAATTAAAAAATGCCTTATGTTGGATTAACAGATATACAGAGGAGAAGAATTATCGCTCTCACCGAACAAGGAATGCTTCAGGGAGACGTAGCAGAGATAGTAGGCATTACCCAGGGTGTTCTACCGAAAACATATGCAAGGTACTTGGAATTAAGAACACACAAGGATAGGCCCAGGCAAAGCCGTCAAAGATTCACAACTTAACAACAAGACCGCATTATGCTAAATTGCTAGAATAAATCCCAATGTTTCTCATCCAGAGCTATAAAGACAACTTCTGGCAGCTACAAGTGTGAACGTTTCAGTTGAAATCATAAGAAAAATGCTTCATGCACGAGGGTTTTACAGTAGGAGAGAGTTACGGATCCCACAGTTATCTCGGCAAAATGAAATTGACCGGCTAAATTGATGCATTCAACATCAAAACTGGAAAACTGAGAATTGGCAAAATGTTCTTTTTTCGGACGAGACCAGAATTGGCCTAGGATCAGATAACCATCGAATTCGGGTTCTCGAGGGCTCAAGACGAGCGAGACTTCAGGCTGCCAAATCTGTACCAAAATATAAAGGAGGAACTGTAGTGTTCTGGGGAGGTATTACGAGTATACTGGGAGCAAAAAGTCCATTGTTACCACTTCAACAAATTTTAACGGGTCGGAGATATGTTGATTTCGTGCTAGAACCAATCGTTAGTCTTTGGAGGCCTGCAAATGGGCGTTATTTTAACTTCATGGACGATAGTGCACCTCCCCATACCAGCAGAGTGACTAGAGAATGTCTTGAAACGGAAGGTGTCATAGTTTTAGAGTGGCCTGCCGATTTACCAGATCGAAACCCTATCGAACACTTGTGGGACTAGCTCAAAAGAAGGGTTAGAGCTCGTCGAAACAATCCAGGAAATCTCGCACATCTTATTGATGCATCATTAGTAGAATGGGAAAACATACTATACCCCAAGACAACGTGGATAATTTAACAAGAAGCATGCCAGCGCGGATACAAGCTTGCATAAGGGCTACAGGTGGCAAAAAGGAATATTTGATTTAGATATTTTGTTGAATTTTCTTGAAATATGACCAATACTATAATTTCTTCAGTACCTAAATATTTCCTATATGCACTAAAAAGTAACAAAAGGTACACCAAATCCGATGAGTACGGTTAAATAAATAGATACTGACGATATATCTCCGGCATAGGCAAAAGCAAAACTCATTTAGTGGTACTTTCTATCGGCAATTATTCCAAGTATTTACCGCCTAGGCGGCCGCCATGTTGTACAAAGTGTTTCTGTAGGTCAAAGAAATTCATTTCTCACTCATTGGGGATTATATGCAATATACATAATTTTATATCGCCAGTGAATCGCCGATCATCTAGGTCAGACATCTCTTAAATAATATTCGATCATATTTCGCGAACTTTAGTATAATAACATAACATCAAAGAAAAACTTCAACATCGTCTTTGATCATAACTATCTTTGGCAATTTTTTCAATCGACATGTTTTGTTCATCATACATAGAGATTTTGAGTAATAATATACAGGGTGGTTCAAACTGTATTCCGGAAACTTCGGCAGCATATTCTGCAGATAAAAATAAGTAAAAAACTTTGAATAAATATATGTCCTAAAATGCTTAGTTTCGGAGATACAGGGTGTAGAAGTTTCATATTTATTTCGATTTTTTCAAATAATTTCTGAAGTAACGTCAATATTTGGATGAAAATTGGTGTCTGGGAAATTTTTTGATATGAGAAATTTGATTTTGATGTCAATATGACTCCTATTTTTAGGGGGCGCCACCTACATGTGTTTTAACTGTTTTTAAGAGTATTAACTTTTCGTCCGTACCTGTATAAACTACCGAGTGAAAAAATATACATTTCTTCTGAGTAATTAACGCCTTTATATTTCCCTTAATACACCGATAACTATTTTTCTTTGTTCTTGGTGTCATTTTGCTTCTGAAGGCGAGAGGAGATATACCTCCTGAAACGTAAAGCTTTTTTTCTCAGTTAGGCAAATTTGTTTTACTAGTAGAGTACCACTGTGTTAAAAATATCTTTTTTATTTTGTTGATTTTCTTCTCAACATGTTTAATGATGACAGGTATTGATAATTTCGATTCCAAATATCTCGAGAACCATTACTCGTAGCGATTTTTATCAAGAGAACTTTTTTACGTAAAAAACGTCGCAAATGTATATTCTTTTACTCAGTTGTTTTATACAGGTACGGACAAAAAGTTATTACTTTTCAAATCAGACAACATTTGAGTCATTTTAAAATGGGACAAAATATACTAAATTCAGTAAGAAATAAAATTATCTATGTACCAGGGGAATTACAAAGTGTTAATAACCTTGGGCAATTATTATTGTTCTCCTAAAACTATGCCCTTAGTAATTAACACCTTTATATTTCCCTTAATACACTGATAACTATTTTTCTTTGTTCTTGGTGTCATTTTGCTTCTGAAGGCGAGAGGAGATATACCTCCTGAAACGTAAAGCTTTTTTTCTCAGTTAGGCAAATTTGTTTTACTAGTAGAGTACCACTGTGTTAAAAATATCTTTTTTATTTTGTTGATTTTCAGTGGCTAAAAACCTATAATTCTTTTCCAAGAAACATACCTAGAGTTAAACCGTTTGAAAATACACAGAGAAAGAGAGTACCCAATGGGTTCTTTGCGATTTGCATAAACGGTGGGAGACCTTGACATTTTTAGGTACGGTCTTGGGTACTGCCAACGCCGAAGACAACCGGTCACAACAAAAATTCGTACCATCAAGGTGACTAAACTCCAATGTTTACCGGAATTGCCCATAGCAGATGCGTTGGAAGCAAAATTCAACTGAATTTCAAGCATTATTATACTAAAATATCGCGAAAAAATCTATTCTGTAGCTTTTATTCTTAAATGTTGACACTATTTTTAATAAAACTACTTGATTACTTAATTACAACAGTAATTAAAATAAGTTGGTAATAAAGGCATTTACTAAACCGTTTAATGTCAACCAAATAAAAAAATAAACAGTTCAAGGACCGTATGAGATAACCGATCAATCTAATTTTAGAAGAAATCGACTGCTATTTAAAATAAAATCGCTGCCTTCGATGACAGTCTTTTGCAACGTCAATTGTTGACCTAAATTTACTACTCTGCACATTATTATTACACTTCAGTTGTTATTATTATTAAATCTACAAGAAACGAAAAATTCATTGATCTCATTGTGTGTTGCAACGCTTTGCTCGGGCCTATAGGTTGATATTTATATTAACTTTCACCATATTAGTAGGCACAGGTTATCCGAAATTTAAGTCCAAAAATTCTCAGCACGATTATTGGATATAGCAGCTTTCTATACGTAGACATTACACTAATATACCTGCAGGACATACAATAAGATAAAAATCACTGTCGCAGTAGCCTTTTAAAAGAAAAATATATCAATGATTTCAAAGGGTACTATGACGGTTTTTTTTGAAAACAGTGCATTTTTATGTCCTTTTACAGTTAGACTATTTATTTTTAAAATATTTGGTAACATTAATACTTATCCCACAAACCAAAGATCATTAAATTCTAACTCAACTGTATAAGATACAGCTTATTAATTCAATACAAAGAATAAAATAACAATATATTATACAGGTTGGTTAGGTGATGTAATAGAAACCAACGAACGACAGGAATAACTATTACACTAACGAAGAAATGAAAAAAAAATCATATAACGTTACTCATCAGAAAAACGCAGAAAATGTCCGAGCCTCTTGCACAATATCATATTAATAACTTATTATCGATGTATGTATGGGCTAGGCTCACAAACATGCAGTTATGTACAGGAAGAAACAAATATAAATTTTGCAACTACTGCATTTTTTTAAACAGCCTGTCATGAGAAACATACCGATACCCGTAGTTTGAATCAAAGTTATTTAATTTCTGTTTGCGTAACTCTATTAGGTACTAAATATGGCGATTAAAAGAAACCAATAACATTGAGACAGGATATGCATTAACACTCTGTATATGAAATATCCTTAAGAAACAAGCAGCATTCCTGAAGTGACTGAAAGATTACACAATCATGACAGAGACTGCAGAGGTTTAAACATAAATAAAATATTATTAAACGGTTTGCTAGTCATATAAGCTAATAACTAACTATGAAAAAGTATTGTTTTAAAAATAATTTAATTAAAAAAAAATGGTTTTGACTCACCGTTTGGACAGCTAAAGAGACCACTGGAACTTTGAGCTGAGTCGATCCTAAGTATGGCCAAAATGGCGACCAATATGGTCGCCTCTATCCTAATCAACATGAACCTGAAACAAAAAGAAGAATAAAATAAATATAAGACACTAAAATTAGAAAATATTCAAATAAATTTAAATTAAGGAAAAAATTATTTAAAAAAATATTTTTCAACACATTCATGGAACAGAAGACAAAAAATCAATTAAAACAATGTCAAAATAATAATAAAACAATCGATATATTATAAGCTCTAGAAGTTTCATCATGTTTTATACAGAAATACTAGGAGAGATCAACAGTCGATTAGACAATAAACCCTATATAATTTTTCTTTCTCTCTTGAGTTATAACGAATTATAACTCATCATACAGTCTCAGGGCTTTGACAAAAACCAGTATCTGAGACGGTTTCACAGAGGCTAGTTATCCATCTCCAATAGCAGTTGTACCATTATTATTGTGGATAAAATTTATTTTAGTAGAAAAGTTGTTCATTCTTGTGTCCTGATATACAGGAACCTATTTTACTTTAAGACAACAATTAAAACCAATAAATAATATAGATACGTTTGAATTAATAACTCGTTTATATTATTACTAGATAAATAAACAGTATGAAAGGAAAATATTTAAAATTCTTATATCTTACGTAAAATTATCCTTGAAATCAATGCGGCCATTAACAATAGTACGATACGCTATTAAAGCAACTTACCCCGATGTTTATATAACTACAAAAAGCGTTTAATGTTAATTCTTGCAATAAAACTGCAATCTTACAACGCAATTAACATCTGAAAGCTATTCTTCGATGTAAAGAATAGGAGGAAAAATCGGAAGAATTTTAAATTGAAGAATTTCGTGTTCTTTTTTTTTTGATGGCACAATCATCATCAAAATTTCTCTGTTTTACATTTTACCGAGAACAGGTTTTGCTTTTTTTTGTGATAGTTAAAAAATAAACTTGTTGTGGGTCTACATTCTTCGTGGTCGTACGTAAAGTAACCAATTTCTTTTTTTTTATCAATTTTTTTACATGTTTAGTCTATATTCCCTTGAAGAGTAATCTTGGGATTGCTACGGGGTTTTTAACAGGACACCGAATTCCTCTACCTACGATTCGGGTGGTAGCTCTGCTGTGAAAAATGTCAAGTTTCCACATTTATTTATTTATTTCCTGACATTGTCATTCGTGTTGTGATCCTTTAAGCTTAAAACTAGCAGCCTTGCAGTCGAACACTGTTCTTTTTAGAACCTCTTTTAGTGCGAAGTGTACGAGATAGCTTAATAGCCGTAAAAAAATCATCGCAACTTTATTAGAATATTTTGAACAGGAATGCGGTAATAATGGCCCTTATTGTCTCTTAAGTGCTCTTAAGGAGGTGAGTTTCGTTGATGTAATAACTGTTTATATATTTATAATTAATTTATTTTTGTTTCTTAAAATATTTTCTTTTTTCTCTTTCTCCACCACCAACGCTTGTTGGTGGTGGAGACTAGAAATGTATAAGTTTCTGGTTTCAGAAATCTGAATGGAGGTGAATAATTACACAAAAAAAAATACTTATTAGTAGGATATAAGAGTAATTCATATAAAAGCACAATTCTGTTAAATTTATAAAACTTACATTAATAAGACACTAACATCTAACATTTCGTTCAGACTTCCGGGAAATCCCCTTCGTGATTCAATCAGATCATATATGGATCAGATATGATCCAGTCTTTTTTTTCGACTTCGGACGAGTATTTCATTCTTCCATCGATAGGTGGAGCGATACTCTCAAAAATAAGCTAATTATTTTAGTTGGCTTGAGGAAAAATTAAGGAAAAACCAATTTAATATAAATCAATAAATCGATAAATCAATAAATCGATAAATCAATAAATCGATAAACCGATAAATCGATAAATCAATAAATCGATTAATCAATAAATCGATAAGTCGATAAATCAATAAGTCAATAAATCGATAAATCGTTAAATCGTTAAATCGATAAATCGATAAATCGATAAATCGATAAATCGATAAATCGATAAATCGATAAATCGATAAATCGATAAATCGATATATCAATAAATCAATAAATCGATAAGTTGATAAATCAATAAGTCAATAAGTCAACAAATCGATAAATCGAGATATCAATAAATCAATAAGTCAATAAGTCGATAAGTCGATAAGTCGATAAGTCGATAAGTCGATAAATCGATAAATCGATAATTAATAAATCAATAAATCAATAAATCGATATATCAATAAATCGATAAGTTGATAAATCAATAAGTCAATAAGTCAACAAATCGATAAATCGATAAATCAATAAATCAATAAATCAATAAGTCAATAAGTCAATAAGTCAATAAGTCAATAAGTCAATAAGTCGATAAATCGATAAGTCGATAAATCGATAAATCGATAAATCGATAAATCGATAAATCGATAAATCGATAAATCGATAAATCGATAAATCGATAAATCCATAAGTCAATAAATCGAAAAATCGATAAATCAATAAATCAATAAATCGATATATCAATAAATCGATAAGTTGATAAATCAATAAGTCAACAAATCGATAAATCAATAAAACAATAAGTCAATAAGTCGATAAATCGATAAATCGATAAATCGATAAATCGATAAATCGATAAATCGATAAATCGATAAATCGATAAATCGATATATCAATAAATCAATAAATCGATAAGTTGATAAATCAATAAGTCAATAAGTCAACAAATAGATAAATCGATAAATCAATAAATCAATAAGTCGATAAATCGATAAATCGATAAGTCGATAAATCGATAATTAATAAATCAATAAATCAATAAATCAATAAATCAATAAATCGATATATCAATAAATCGATAAGTTGATAAATCGATAAATCAATAAATCAATAAATCAATAAGTCAATAAGTCGATAAGTCGATAAGTCGATAAATCAATAAATCAACAAATCAATAAATCAATAAACCAATAAACCAATAAACCAATAAATCAATAAATCGATAAATCAATAAATTGAGGATGCGAGGGGGGAGAGAGAGAAAGAGAGAGAGAGAGAGAGAGAAAAAGAAATAAATCAATAAATTGATAAATCAATAAATCGATAAATCAATAGATCGATAAATCGATAATTCTATAAATGCGTAAATCGATAAATTACGTGATTAAAAGTTGTATTTGTATTTGATATGAGCTACAGATATGAATCTGCTGTTTATTATTGTATAATGGGTTATGTACGCGATTTTTGAACCCCGTCCCGCTTAGCATAATCTCTCAACAGACCATATGCCTAATGAGAGAAGTGCTCTCCACGCCGATAATCTGGGCCAGAGAGGCTTGTTGCAAGGCGGCCAACGGCCCGCAAAAACAACAAAAATCACAATAATTAAACGGCGATACCGAGTGTTACCATTCCTCTGATAACTAGTGCAGTACGATTGGTGAGCCGGCGTGCTTTCCATAAATATAATTACGTTTCATAAAGACGCATTAGGCGGCGAAAAAAGCGCGTTACGGTATCCGCAGCCCCGGCGTTAAACAGCCTGCCTTCGAAGAGGATACGTTATGTGGAGCATTGCGAGAGATGCAGGAAATTAACAAAAGGAAGTGAATTTATCCAATAGAATATGATAGCTAGTTTAGTTTTATTTACACTATACAGTATACAGTGGGGTGCACCAAAAAATATGTTTTTGTTTCTTTTTAGTTACCGTGAAATTTTTTTAAAAAAACCTTTTAATATTAATATTAAGAGGTGTCTCATCGAATAACTCACCGGAAATAACTACAACTTTTGATTTTTAAATGGCACCCTCGGTATTTTTTTACTTTATTCGATAGAAAATGATATTCTGAATAGAATGACATATCATATGTCAACTTTTGACATTCTTGCTTAACAAAAAATCGTATTTTAAATTTCAATCTAGATTGCCATGGCTATGTTAAACACACTACTTCTTAATCATGGAGCCTTGGAAAAATAGATTTGATTCTCTAATGTTTTTCGTGTCTTGTCCTGGTCGGTTAAAAATGCCCAAATCGTATTTTTAATCATATCTCAATTTTTTCAAATGAAACGAGGGTGGCTCATTAGCATATTTGGAAAAGGCATTTTTTTACGAATAATTTACACACTTGGTATTTCGAGTCAAATTTTCGTTACGAACCGCAAGTTATAATTTCAAATAAACCTTATGCGAAAATGTCCAAAGTTGACATATGATATGTCATTCTATTTAGAGTGTTATTTTCTTTCGAATAAAGTAAAAAAAATACCGAGGGTGCCATTTTAAAATCAAAAGTCGTAGTCATTTCCGGTGAAACAGGAAGTGGCCGAAAACAATTGAATACGTCAATCAATCCTAATAAATGACATATACTAACATACTAAATCTCGTTTTTTTAACTCAAAGAAGTCACTTTTGAGACGCACCCGGTATATAAAATTTAAAAAATACATGAACCTTTTAAGGTGAGTGTAGTATCAAATAAAATTAAATACCTTGCACATATTTATTATACACCTTGTTTATAAGTAAGGCATAATTATAATAAATATATTATAGCGCCCTATTTACATATAAATCGTAACTGTGCTCATATCAAACAATATGAGTGAAATTAAAGCAAGAAACACACTCCATACAGTACTTTATTACTCTTTAACGCCCATTTAATCGACAACGTACCTTATACTATGGTTTTTCATCGAAAATACTGAACTGCCGTTACTTTAACAGTTCTGTAGAGAAATAAATATGTTTTACGAGTGAGAAAAGGCGTTTTTTAAGTGGCAAATCTCATTATGCCGATCTAATTCGGGCCGAAAGCAACGTCAGAAAGTTGAGCGATAATGCTTGTTATGTCGCGAAATACAACCGGAGAGTTTTGTAGGTCGTACCGTTATCAAATCGGTGACAGAATTTTCGTTGGTCCGATCGTGGTGGATTTGGGTCACGTATGAAACCGAAAACTACAAGATTTGGTCGATTAAAATGATATGATTTCTTCTTTATTTAATAGATTTGGAGTCAGTTTTAAAAAGAC